GAAATGGCAGGGACCCTCCCCTCCACCACAAACAGAAATGCCTCAAAAAACCCTCATCCTCCACCAAACTCACCCCAATCCAATAGCAAATCAGAATTCATCCCAAAGGCAGCAGCTAGAAACCTCCCCTCCCACGTCTCCTCCCCCCACCCCTTCATATCCTGGACAGAACACAAACTGCGAAAATTGAATGAAGAAAATTGTAGGCCTATCAGGAGCTTAGTACATACTGAACAACAAAATTACATTTGTATAGCGGCTTTCACGTTGGGAGGACATCCCAAGGTGCTGGACAATCAGTATTTTGGACCCAAGCTGGGGGACGGAATTGGGGAGGGTGGAGAGCGGGGGGAGTAGGGTGACCGAAGGCACGGTCGAAGAGGAGGGTCTTGGGATGTGTCTTGAAGGAGGAAAGGGAGGGGCAAAGCGGAGGGACTGCGGGACGGAGTTCCAGAGGGTGGGGAAAGTGTGGAAGAAGGCCCATCCACCAGTGGTGGAGTGGGCGGGGGGAGGGATGTGAAGCAGGCTGGAGCCTGCCAAACGGAGGTGGTGTGCAGGTTGGTAGGGGGTTAGAAGGTCACAGAAATAGGGGGGAGCAAGGTCGTTGAGGGCTTTGAAGGTGAGGACCAGGATCTTGAACTCTATCCTCTGTGTGATGGGAAGCCAGTGGAATCGGGGGAGGATGGGGGTGATAGGGTCGCAGAGCCTGGTCCGGGAGAGGACATGGGATGCAGAGTTCTGGATGATCTGCAGCCTATGGAGGAAGGAGTTGGGGAAGCCAACAAGCAGGGAATTGCAGTCAAATCTGGATGTTATGAATGAGGGTCTCGGCAGTCTGTGGTGTGAGACAGTGGTGGAGCCGGGCAATGTTGCAGAGGTGGGGGATGGTAGAACAAGATATGGTCCAGATTTTGGGTAGAAAGGACGTGAAAGGTGCTATGTAATTTTGTTATCATTATTGTTGTTGAGGACCAAACAAGATGCCAAGGTTATGGACTGGCTAAGGTAAGATGGAGTGTACATCCTTGGATGGTGAAGAGCATAGGGAGACAGAAAATGATTGTGTGGTAACAGTTAACAAGTGTAAATAAGAAAAATAATTATTCCATGTTGAATTATGATTAAATCAAGACAATAAGTATATTTGTTGATCATTTTTATGTTTTTATTGTTTTTAATTTTTTAAATTTATTTTGAAGACAATAGTTAAATGTGTAAGTGCAACCTGTTTTTCCAGGTTTGCATTTCCCATTTAGTATCCATATGGTCAGCTGAGTGTCAGACACATGTGAAAACCCATTATCAAGCTTAAGAGAATCCAAACCAAACTGAGAGTTCCATCCATCCCACTTGTAGAGATTCCAGAGATATTTGTTGAAATGGAAAGCACTCGCTCTCCATGGAAGGACACATCCTGCTTACCTAATTCCGGAAAGTATTAGGTTGGCAAGGCTTGGGGTCCCCAGAGTGCATTAGGGTACTACTGGAGTCTAACCACATAGCTTACCATTGAGAGCACTGCCTGGCAAGCTAGAACCACCCTATCCATTAGGGCTTTGGCTTGCAGGGTTTACAGGAGTGGGAAGAGTGATTGGTCTGTCCTTCCAAGTCCTGCCAATGAGCCAATGATGGCTGTTCTGTCATCAGCAATGCCTTCGAGAACTGTGGACCCATCTGGAACAGGACTACCTTGACTGCCTCCAAGGGTTGGCTTGATTCTGACATTCCATTGCGAAATATGTCATCTTGGAGCCAATTCAGCTCCAAGGAGGCCCTCAAGGACTTTAGTGTCCAAACTTATTTGTAAATATGTTTACTTCTTTGAAAGTATGCATTAGTGTTTATGTGTAATTAACTTTTTTCTCTCTTCTATGTCTTTTCACTAAAATAATAAAATTCCTAAAAAAAATTGTATTTCATATCTAAGTCTCCTTCAAAAAGTTTCTTCAAAAATTGAGGAATCTAAAGCGTTTAGCTAATTCAATTTCACTGACTTACCAGTTTTGTTCAGTGAGAGGAATCCGATAATTAACAATTAAGAAAAGTTAAATACAAAATTTTGCTGAAGAACACCAGATACATATCTCCAGAGAAAAGAACATTGAGACAAACGGGCTCATAAAAGTTATCGAGCTTTCACACTATTAACAATCTGATGTAGAGGGGGAGAAAGAAACCGATACTGAAAATATTTTGTTGCAACAATCTGTGATACCTTTGTCAATTTCCTGTACTTAAAGACCAATGATTTTTTTTTGGGGGGATGGGAAAAGGGGTGAAGGAACACTTTTACTTCAACCTAGTAACAAATGTAGAGCACAACAGATAACCGAACATTTCATTTGCTTGAACCATGAACTCAGAAACATATGCAAATTACTCCAACACACCAAACCAACCTCTTGACTGTTGAAGTGCCTATTCAAGTATTTTGTACTATCAGCTTTCTTCTCAAAAGATTACATATTTCTGTAAAATAACGATTGCATTTAGATATGCAAGGATGTCCCAAAGCGCTGGAGAATCGAGAGTTTACACTAGAACTGAGGGCTGGATACAAGATGGGTGGTGATCAAGGGAGAAGGGGGAGGGAAGATGATCAAAGCAAGGTCTTAAGAAGGACCTTGATGGGAAGGGGCAAGGTGAAGGGATTTAGGGATAGAGTTCCAGAGAGTAGTGGCAAAAAGCACAACCACCAACAGGATGGGCAGGGCAGGCCAGTGCCTGTAGAGCAGAGGGAAAGGGTGGGTTGGTAAGGTTTTAGAAAGGTAGGATGAGGCAAGACTGTGGAGAACTTTAAAAGTGACAACAAGGATCTTGAACTCAATCTTTTGATTAAACCTTAGAGATCGGACGAGAATGGGGGTGATAGGCTCAGAACAGCAGAAGTTTTGATAGTCTGCAGCTTGTGGAGGGAAGAGTTGAGAAGATCCAAGCAGATTTGGCATTGTCCATCCCGGAGTTGATAAAAACATGAATAAGTTCTCTGCCATCGCGAAGGAAAGCTGAACAGGTCAAGGCCAGGTTACTGTATATGGTTTAAATGACAATTGAGATTTGAACAAGACACTGAGTTTCCGTACGAATGAAAATACCAAACAATTGGATAATAGGGCAGTTTTCAAATATGCTACAATTTGGGGGTTAAATGGGATTCAAGTTAAACACTTCCATTCTGGTATAATAGTCCTGTCTTGTTTTAACCACAAAACTTTAACCAAAATTTACAACACAAAGGCACAGATCTCTTTAAAAACAAAAAAGTTATTTTGCCCCATTTTTCTTCCACTTTAATGACCATCTACCAATAAAGTTTGAATTAGTCCTGAATTTGCTACAACGCATATTACTAGTGGACTCTTCCTCCTGTTTTTTTCACTTCTACTGTACTTGATAGATCCCAACATAAACTTATTGAAACTAGTTTTTAATATCAAATCTCACCCAGTGTTAAGACTGTGCTTTACATTTCTCATTTCAGACATATTGAACCCCAAAAGCACCAAAGGTTTGCGTCTCTTTATAGCTCTCAAGCACAGATGTTGCTTTTTGCTGAACATACGAGCAACATCAGCCTTCCACAGCCATAAAATTGAAGATAACGTTTCAACCTCTTCATTGCTAGGGTAAGGTTGCTTGTGAAAGTAGTCAAGCAAGAATAACTTTCTTTCTTCATACGAACAATTCTCAAAGTCTTTGGGAACCAAAGCTAAGACTGTTAATGGGTCAGGTAATGGCAAAGACTGTGAATTAGGTTGAACTGCTATAGGAGCTGGCTGACATTTAGCAGTCCCAGCATCCACCTCTAGTTGTTTACAAGGAGGCATCTCCAGATCTTCATTTCCTCTATCTGAAGTCATGCAATTCTTGTTGCTGTCTGCAACCTCACGCTTTGACTTAATAACACTTTTTGGCAAAATATTGTGTTTATTAAGGCCTCTACACTGTAACAGATGAAGAGATAGTGTTGAAGTTGTTATGCTATCTGTGTACACACCAAGGCAGTGAATGCACTTGAAGGCTGGTATTTTCAGCAGTGGGTGAATCATGGGTGCTACTTGATGATTTTTATGTAAGTGTTTTTCATATTTCAATTTTAAAATCAATTTTGAACAAAAGAAACATTTTATATCAGGCTTTTCTTCTGTAGGAGTGTTTTTCACAATAGTTGCTTCATTTTTTTCTCTACAAATTTCAATTAGTAAGGGGGCATGAGGAGAAGACATCTTATTTGGAATAAGTGTCAAGTGAATGTCATTGGGACCCATTTTATCTTCTGGCAAAGTAATTGTCATGTTAAAACTGCCGCCATTGATTTGGCTGGATGTTGGCACTCCATCTTTAATATAATGAACAGATTCAAATTTCAGTCCAAGGTGCAAACTTTTCACATGTTCAGCCAATTGCGCAAGATCATGGAATGTCAATGCACAGAACAGGCAACTCAGACCATGTGTTAGTAAGTGAGAGAGAAGACCATTTTTATGCACGTACCTTTTACACAACAGGCACTTGCCTATTTGAGCACGCACTCTTTGCAAGTAAGTAGCAGAAGCAACAACTTTTTCAGGTTTGTCAGAAACTTGCTCAACATTATGGACTGTTGCAACATGGCTATCAAACAGATTTAATGGAACCAATTCACTACATTCTGAGCAACTCTTCCATTGCTGAGTTTTGGGTGGAGTGACGCAATCTTCCCTTTGCTGCTCCTGCACTAGGGGAGATGCAAATGTCATCTCAGGGGAGGGTTCTTTTATTTGCTGATCAGACACAGAAGTAATTGCATTTGTTTGAGTGACAGTCATTGGTACCTGTACTGTAGAATTCATACCAGGCGTTCCACCTGTCATACCAGCTGAGGAAATAGGCAAAGAAAACTGAACTGGAGTTAAACGAGTATAAGTTGGTACACCATTTACAACATGGTTAGTCCTTTGGATTAAATGTCTCAGCACTTGTGAAGCGGATGATACATTTCCTGGAGCATTGGCTCTGATCGTAGCGCTGTTTTGTGAAGGAAAGTGGTTGACGTTGGTCAGGATAGATCCCACAGTTACTGGTTTAATATTATGATTAAGTGCCACCACATTAATGGCCTGTTGCACAGTTGCTGGTAGAGACAATTTGATGGTGGATGTTGCTGGCATTGATTGGACGTGGGGGGTGCCAGAATCTGTGTTGTGACACCAGGTGATGATGGTGATCTGACACGTGGAGCCAATGGTACCAGTGTTACTACACTGGGGCGCGGTGGTGTCAGTGGTCTGACATTGCGTAATAGCAAAGCTGGTAATTCGACATTGGGCTTTACTGGTGATTCTACACTGGGCAGCAATGATACTGGTGGTCCGACACTTGGTGGCGATGGTGACCCGGCAAGTGGTGTTAGTGGATCAACACAGGACGGCGCTGATTCCAGCGGTTCGATCCAGGACCACGCCGGTTGAGGCGATTCGATGTAGGGTAGTGCTGATTCTGGTTGTTCGACATGGAGTGGTGCCGATTCTGGTTGTTCGACATGGGGCATTGCTAGTTGTGGTGATTCGAGATGGGATAGAGCCGATTCTGGTGGTTCGACACAGAGCAGTGCCAATTCTGGTGGTTCGACATGGGGTAGTGCTTGTTGTGGCAATTCAACATGGGGTGCTGCTGGGGCCAGCTGCCTGGCTTCTGATGATGCATGTGCCAATGATCTGACACAGAGTGCTGTCCGTGCTCTGCGATAGGGTGGTGCTGATGCAGGAACTTGATTCAACAATGGCTTAGGAGCAGTTTGTGATGTTGGTCTCAGTTCAGATATATGTCCAATTTTAACTTTTACCTGATATTCCACTTCTTTATGTCTATCCAAAATGTGATATATTAAAGCCTCATGAGTGATTGTTTTTATTTTGCATCCTTTACAAAAATACTTATTTATAAGTGGTTTTGCATTATTAACCAAGGGAGTCTTATTTTTTGACACAAGCTTTGGTTCTACCTCCCCAATGTAAGTGTTTAATAAAATTCCAAAATGCAATACAAAAACATGTTTCATTAAGGCATACACCGACACATCTTTGTAATGACAAACCCTGCAAAAATAAACTGCTTGCACCAGGGTTAACATTTTTCCTTGCAAGATCTTGGGTTGCATCTGGCTCACTTGATCTGTACTTATGTCGTTAGTAACGTGAGCTTTCCGAGGCTCCGAATGGAATATCTGGATGTGTTCCTTCATATTCTTAGAATTGGAAACAAACGAACAATTAGGGCAGTTAATCACCATTTCCTCATCCATTTTGTCTTCATGGGAACAGTGCATATGACTCTTGTAAGCAGATATAAACTTTGTAGAAAAACTACACAGACTGCAGCAATATGGCTTTGTTTGGCAGTCCTGCAAAAAATATACATAGAATTACCCACTATTCAAATGTATTCCCAGAAGACAACAACAATTCGCATTTATATAGCGTCCTTCACACATGGTACCGTATCAGAGCAATTGCGCTCCTATTGAATCTTAAAATTTGATTGTTTGATCTGATCGACAAAATCTGCTTCTATTTGGATTACCAGCATTACATCTGTATGTTATAGTCAACATTAAGCAAAGAAATGCATCTATATGTTTGGCAGGAAGGAGTATCCTTAACTACGTTATAAAGCCATCGATTGTATCAGATAGAGTCTTCCCTCAATCTGTGGTGATAACGCTTTTTATTTGGGTGGGGGAAGCAGCTTGGGCAAAAGTTTTTTATAGAACTCGGGTGGTAAATCATCCAGTCATGGAATGTTCCCAATTATAAATCCTTGACCACACTTCAGACATTACAGGGTTGCTCAGCATGTTCATCTTGTCTTTTGTGAGAAGTGGAAAGATATGTTGTCATTCCTAAAGGATTCCCTCAATTTCCAACTTATATTGAGAGGAAAAGAATCTTACAAATTCAATGTTAATTTCTGCAATCTTTTGTATGGAGAAATGGAATTATCCTATCTTGAATCTGCCTGTGCAAGAAGAGCAGGTTACCAGATTTATCCTCACTTCACTAGTATTAAAATTTTTGGTAAAACACAATAGATTTTTTAGCTCTATTGTTTCATGGCAATTGTTCGATTCCTTGCAAGATAACCTTTGTTGTCACTAGAACTGGAAATCATCATGTTACATAATCAGTTTTGTTCTATGAAAAATATTATTTTGTTTCTTTAATAATAATCCTTGCATTTGATATTTCTTTCATTGTTCTCAGGTATACTTTACCTCAAAATCTTCTTCGACACAACCGAGACCTGTATCTGACAGAATCCTCTTCCCTTTCTTTCGAGATTTCCTGATGGTATCCAGCTTGGTAACAGAAATTGGATGCAAATTTGTTGTTCCTATGCAAACAGAGAAAATCATTTAAATAAAACAGGAGATCATATTAATCTACAGGAGGAGGACCTATTGTTCTGCCATTCTTTTAGTCTACATAGAGAATAAACGTACATGCATCATGCAAAGGTTAAACCACCATCCTTTTATCTGAAGTAATAATGATCCAGTTTCTACAACACAATATATTTTGACAAACTCATTCAGAGAATTTTCAAAAATTCCTCTCATGGGAAACAGTGTTGTTTACACCAAGTAGCAGGAATTGCTTGCCAATGTTAACTTGAAGGTATGTCACTATGGCAGTGATGCGATAAAATTTAATTTATTTATACTGTGTGTGGCTGAAAATAGCTGTCAGTAATCTTCCATCACCCACACAATTGCTTGTTAATGAGCACAAATCTCAAAAATATATTTCTTAGTAATCCATACTACATTCAAATGGCATATTAATTTAGGTTGATCCAGTTTAGATAAAGAATTCAATATTTAATTTCCATCTCGCATTCATAAGAATAAAAAATGGAATGAGAGACCACTGAAATCCAGAGGGTTCCCTTCCCTGCCATGAAAAACCTCTCTAATTATTGATTTCGCCTTACTCGCTATCTATCTTTAGGAGAAAAATATTGTATAGTACAGATACCCCTTGATAAAAGATAATGAAGCACAATTTATATTGATCCATCCCATGTCCCACTAATCCAACTCTGGCTACCCTGATTGAAAATATTGACAACCCTAAGTGAACCTTTAACAAAAAATGTACAATTTGTCGAACACAAAAAAGGCTCGAGTACTTAAACTCAAAAGGGGTGCATTGTCAGAGGTGCCATCCTTCAAACGAGGCATTAAATTGAAGTCTGATTTATGCCCGTTGGGAGTTTCTCCCATTGTTCTGGTCAACAACATTGCAAAAAAAAGCCATTCAACTAATGGCTCATTGTAGGATGTTGCTGTGAGCAAATTGGTTGCCTTGTTCACCTGCAAAATAAACACTTTACAGTAAATCGTTTGAAGTGCTTTAAGATGTCCCCTGATACGAAAGGTTCTACATCAAATTCAGATATTATTATAATTCTTAAAATTTCAAATAATTTCATGGATGGGAGTTTTGCTATCAGTTTGGGATTTAGAAATAAAAATTAAAGAAATAGTGATTAGAAAAACTATAAAAATATTTTAAAAATTAGAACATCTTATTCTCAGCCACGCTGCTGCGTAGAGGGGCTCAACATAGTCCTGGCAACTATTGAGAACAGGCTGCCAATAATAATAATAATAATCCTTGCATTTAATGTAGCGCTTTTCAGAATATACTGTGAAGTGAATTGACTGTATATTTGTGGGCAAAACGCAGCAGCCAATTGCGCACAGCAATGTCCCACAAACAGTTGTGGATTGAAGTGACCAATTTATTATTTTTTTCTTGAGGGATTATTATTATTATTATTACCATCATCATCATCATCAGGCTCTTGCACAGAAGGCAGTGCAATCTAAGGATACATGGAAATTTAACACAAACAATTTTTTTAAATGCTCAATACCCTATTATTTATCCCCATCAAGCCTGACAATATTTTGAAAAATAATATTTAATAATCACAATGTTCAAACAACATTTTTAAATGGCACCTTTGTCAGATTTAAGAGTTACAAGCTCATCATTAGTTTCCACCAATCTTCATTCACTCATCTGTGGGGAGAACGGCAATAAATAAAACTTGTATTCATTTGGTTCAATATAATAATAGAAATACACAATTTGTATTGCTTTAATTGCATTTTAGCAATACACTTCTTGCTTACTAAAATACTTGAGAGTTGGAAACACAAACCGAATTTCAAAGGCTTATTTATCCTGCACTTTTATACAGATCGCAGAACGTTAACAACACCTTGCATTTATATAGCTCCTTTCACGCGGGGTTTCCGCCTGGAGCGCTTGACAGTGGTGGAGTCTGACCCCGAGCCAGGGGGACAGGGAGGGGGTAGGTGGCCGTAAGCACGACCAAAATGTAAGGTTTTTAGGCAGGATTTGAAAGTGGGAAGTTCAAAGGGGTACTTTGAACAAAGAACATTCCTTCTAGACACTGCTCTCCTTTAAAAACTATTCAGAAAAGATTTACCAGCAACAAAAGGCATTTATAAAGCAACCTTCACAGTGCAATGTCTGAGCGCTTAACAGTGCTGTGGAGAATGACACCAAGTGGGGGGGGGGGGTGGAGGGAGGAAAGGGCCGTAAGCACGGTCGAAGAGGAAGGTCTTCATTCATGATCTAAAAGAGGAGAAGAAGCGGGCAAGGCAGAGGGATTGAGGATAAGAGTTCCAGAGTTTCGAGGCATAGTGGCTGAAGGCACAGCCACCGATGGTGGAACGGAGGAGAAGAGGGAAAAACAGGAGGCTGGAGGCAGCCGAGCAAAAGCAACGGGTGGGGGAGTGGGGGATAAGCAAATCGAATAGGTAGGGAGGTGCGAGCGCATGAAGGGATTTGAAAACAAGTGAGAGGATCTTGAAATCAATCCATTCAGTAATTGGGAGCCAGGGGAGCCTGGCAAGGACTGGTGTGATGGGGTTATGGAGTTTTGTGCGGGTCAGAATCCAGGAGGCAGAGTCCTGAATTATATTTTGGGTATTGTGTAGCTGAGGAGACCTGCGAGGGGGGCATTGGAATAGTCCAGCCAGGAAATGACGAAGGCATGGATGAGAGTTTCAGCTGCTTTTGTTGTGAGGTATGGATGTAGGTGGGTCATGTGACAGAGGTGGAAAAAAGCAGTCCTGGTCAGCGAATGGTTGTGAGGTAGATAGGAAAGCTCCGGACTGAACTTGACGCCTAAGTTACAGGTTTGGTGAGTCTGAGGGAAGAGCCCGGGGAGGTCGAGCAGTTCAGACCCACAAGAAGACGTTGACTGCACTTTAATAAATGAAGGAAACTTAAGCTGTACATACTAAAATTTTTGATTTCTTTACAACTCTGCTTTAGAACTACAAAATGACGTGCCAGGCTGTAACCTCATGTGAATCTTACATCTTATATTCTGCAAGGATATAATAATAATAATCCTTGCATTTGATATAGTGCCTTATCATGTATTCAAGACAACTACTTGCACTTACAACACAACAACAACAAGATTCCATTTATAAAGCGCCTTTCACGTCAGGAGGACGTCCCAAGGCGCTGCACAGTTGGGTCATGACCCGAGCAGGGGGGAAATGGTCAGGGTTAGGGGAGGGAAGAGAGGGAGCGAGGAGGGGGGAAATGGTCAGGGTGAGGGGAGGGAAGGGAGGGAGCGAGAAGGGGGAAGAGAGTCGAGAGGGGAGCTGAAGGCACTGACCGTTGGTCAGAGAAAGGTCTTGAGACCGGCCTTGAAGGAGGAAAGGGAGGAGGCGGCGAAGGCACTGGGGGATGGAGTTCCAGAGCCTCGGGGCTGAGAGGCTGAAGGCCCGACCACCGATGGTAGGGCGGTTGGGGCGGGGGTGTGGAGCAGACCGGAGCCAGAGGAACGGAGGGTACGGGCAGGTAGGGAGGGAATAGTAGGTTGGAGAGGTAGGAGGGAGCAAGGCCGTGAATGGCCTTGTAGGTGAGGATGAGGATCTTGAAATCAATCCTCTGGGGGATGGGGAGCCAGTGGAGGCGAGCGAGGGTGGGAGTGATGTGGTCCCGAAGTCTGGTTATATAGCAACCTCCACGCAGGGTAGCGTCTCAAGAACGCTTAACAGTGGCGGAGCCTGTCTCCGAGCTGGGGGAGGGGAAGGTGGCTGTAAGCACAGTCGAAGAGGTAAGTTTTCAGGCAAGACTTGAAAAAGGGGAGAGTCAGGGCAAGCCGGAGGGATTGAAGAAGAGTGTTCCAGAGTTTCAAGGCATAGTGGCTGAAAGTGCAACCTCCAATAGTAGAGCGGAGGATGCGAGGGACAAGTGGGAGGCCGGTGCCAGTTGAACGGAGGCACTGAGTGGTGGATTGAGGAGTGAAGAGCTCATATAGGTAGGGAGGTGCCAGGGAGTGAATGGATTTGAACACGTGTGTGGATCTTGAAGTTGATCCGTTCGGTGATGAAGAGCCAGGAGAGCCTGGCCAGAAATGGTGAGATGCGAGTACGGAGTTCGGTGAGGGTCAGTATGTGGACGGCAGAGTTCTGAATGAGTTGGATCTTTTGAATGGTGGAGCTGGGGAGACCGGCGAGGAGTGTGTTGGAGTAATCCAAGCGGGAGGTGACAATCACATGCACAAGAATTTCAGCTGCATTTGGCGTAAGGCATAGTCAGAGGCGGGCAATGTCTCAAAGCGCTTCACAGAATATACTGTAAAGTGAATTGACTGTATATTTTGTGGGCAAAATGCAGCAGCCAATTGTGCACAGCATTGTCCCACAAATAGTCGTGGATTGAGTGACCAATTTATTATTACCCCCGGAAAAGCGATCTCCCAATCGACTAACAACCAGGTTCCGACTTGCTGATAACCAGAGGGGTGTGAAGTAAGGAAACTTGCCCAATGTTTCGCCCTGCCCGGGAACCGAACCCAGGTCTCTCACTTGCGAGGCGAGTGCTCTAACCGCTGAGCTACAGGATTCCACGATACCACAATAGAACTGGGAACAGGGATTCTTACCACTCATCTTCTGTTAATCCTACACCAAAACCCTAACAGGGTCCTTAGCTGCCAGGCAGCTTGCACTCAGTGGCAAGATATATGGGTTTAGCTCCTAAACTCCAGCAGTACTCCAATGCACACTCTCAGTCCCTTTTTATAACTATATGACAAACACCTTGTAGGCTGTGCAATGCGGTCCAAAGTCAGTGAAATATTTTCAATCTCAAAGTTGTGAATGAACCTTGTGTTTTAAAGAAATTATTTCTAAATGTACCCTGACAGCAGTTTTCCCCAAAACATTAAACCAGGTTTGTAAAATCACCAAAACAATAGCTCTGTAATAATAATAATAATAATCCTTGCATTTGATATAGCGCTTTTCACGTCGGGAGGACGTCCCAAAGCGCTTCACAGAATAGACTGTAAAGTGAATTGACTGTATATTTGTGGGCGAACGCGGCAGCCAATTGCGCACAGCAATGTCCCACAAACAGATTGAAAATGACCGATTTATTATTGTTTTGTTTTGGAGGGATTATTATTAGGCTCTGTGTGGAGTAAGGAAACTTGCCCAAGGTTTCGCCCTCTGCCTGGAATTGAACTCAGGTCTCTCACTTGCAAAGCGAGTGCTCTAACCACTGAGCTACAGGACTCCACAACAGGTACAACAACATTTAAGCAGTTATGCAGATAAAAATAAGCATGAAACTACATTAACTGATTTATATACAGTAAAGTCCTGATAATTCAACCTTAGCTCAATTTGTCACTATCATTTTAAGTCATCACGCTGTCAATATCCAGGCTACATTTAAGTATTTTTTACATATGCTGAACTCGCCATTCTAAATAACTTGTCACTGAACCCTTTTTCCACCCTTGGAGTGACGTGTTATAAGTAGTTTACTGTATATGCCATAGTTCATTGCTGGCTAGCTATAAATGCAGCTCTCTCAGTGGGGAGAACCATTGTATGCAAGCTCCATTGCAGGCAGATACCAGCTCAATTTCAGCTCAGACTTCAAAATCCCCAAGACCAACAATTTCTTGAACCACCAAATCACAACAGCTTCTCCCATTCTTTCAGCAACAAAAAACATATTTGACTGTTTTAGTTGCCTTTTCAAATAGATAACCGACTTTTAATAATGAAGAGCATGTATAGACTGGATGATCTCCGGTTCCTGTTTTCCTATAATTCTGAAATTGGGTTGCTTGGCCAAAGCAATGGTCTACATACCGACTGACCACCTTGTTATGATTGGTGGTTATATTAATACTAAAAGCGCTATATCAAATGCAAGGATTATTATTATTATAGCATCTTTTCATGTCTTCGAGACATCTCAAAGTGCTTCACAGAATATACTGTAAATTGACTGTATATTTTGTGGGCGAAACGCGGCAGCCAACTGCGCACAGCAGTGAACCACAAACAGTCGTGGATTGAGTGACCAATTTTTTTTTAAGGAATCATTACCCCCAGAAAAGTGATCCGCCAATCGACCAACAACCAGGTTCCTACTTACCGCTAGATAAACAGAGGAATGTGGAGTAAGGAAACTTGCCCAACATTTCGCCCTGCCAGGAATCGAACCCAGGTCTCTCGCTTGCGAGGCGAGCGCTCTAACCACTGAGCTACAGGACTCCATATGGGTCTTCTGAGGTTTTCCAGCAACAGTTTTGCAAGGTGAATTAGGGTGAAAATGAGAATCAAGACTACACTGCGTCAATCAGGAGGGAGATGAGTCAATTAAACGGCGTCGATACTGAGGAGGCATTAAAAAGGGGGTACTCCCATGAGCACCATCAATTAACTGTTCATTGTAGGTCAGATGTGTGAGGTGCAACTGCACCCCCTCCCCTCCGCCACCAGCACGTCAGGTCACACATGTGTGGGACTTCATAATAATAATCCTTGCACCTGATATTAATAATAATCCTTGCGTCTGATATTAATAATAATAATCCTTGCATCTGATATTAATAACAATAATAATAATAATAATCCTTATTATTGCGCCTGGTCCCGCGGATGAGACGCACAGAGCGCTTCACAGAATTAACGGTATCGTTACGTCGTGTGAAGTGCTCGGGACTGACCGCACGTTTTGTGGGCGAGAAGCGCGGCGGCCAATGAACGATAAGCGGTGTATAAGCGGGGGCACAGCGTTATAAACGGGGTGGGGGGGGGGTGGCATCACCTGCCCGTGCGGCGCAGAGCGGAGAGAGAGAGTGAGTGAGTGAGTGAGTGGACGGACGGTGTGGATGACGGCAGCTCAGAGCCGCGCCGGCCTCACCTGGGCTCGGTGTCCGCCGCCGCCTCTTCCTCTCCGGCGCGGTCACCACTTTGCGCGGCCGACCCCGACCCCGGCGGCCGTTATTGTTGTTGCTGCTGCCGTTGTTGTTGTTGTTGTTGCTGCCGCCGCCGCCGCTGCTGCTGCTGCTGCGCGTCGTGGACGAGGCGGGGGCCCCATCCCCCGCGGGGTGGGGGGGGGGGAGGAGGAGGGCTGCCCGGTGCCGCTCGGGCTGGCGGGCGGCAGCCACTCTCCGCTTCTTGGCGGCACCGAGTGGGCGGTTGGCGCTCGCGGCGGCGGCGGCGGCGGCACGTTTTCCCGGCATCAGCTCAGCTCAGCCCCGCGCGCACACACACACACAGACACACACACACACCGCTGTCCGCGACGAAACTATTTCACGCTTCTCCTTGAACACGTACCGTTGTATGTTTACAGTTTAAAAACAGCCCCAAAGAACTGGGGGGAGAAATGGGGGGAAATTAAAGTTCAGTCGATCACCGGCACCTCAACAGCCACAAAATGGCGCCCACCCGCCCGCTTCCCGCCCGGCGGAAGTGACGTGCCGCCCCCTAATTTGCATAACCGCCAATGGACCCCCTCCCCAAATAATATCCATCGCCATAATAATCATTCTTGCCTTTGGTACCATAGTCATAATAAATAATCCTCGCAATTTGATACAGCGCCTTCTGATCAGGTCCTTCTCGACGTCTCAAAGCGCTTCGCAGAAATAATAATAATAATAATAATCCTTGCATTTGATATAGCGCTTTTCACGTCGGGAGGACGTCCCAAAGCGCTTCACAGGACACACTGTAAAGTGAATTGACTGTATATTTGTGGGCGAACGCGGCAGCCAATTGCACACAGCAATGTCCCACAAACAGTCGTAGATTGAAAATGACCAATTAATTATTGTTTTTTTTTGGTTTTGGAGGGATTATTATTAGGGCTCTGTGTGGAGTAAGGAAACTTGCCCAAGGTTTCGCCCTCTGCCTGGAATTGAACTCAGGTCTCTCACTTGCAAAGCGAGTGCTCTAACCACTGAGCTACAGGACTCCACCAAATAGACTGTAAAGTGAATTGACCGGACGTTTGTGGGCGAAACGCGGCAGCCAATTGCGCACAGCGGGGTCCCACGAACGGTCGTGGATTCAGCGACCACATTTGCGGGGGGCGGGGGGGGGGGGGAATGTAAATTCACCTTCATCACCCCCACCTCACCCCCAGCTTTGGGCTTGGAAGCTTGTGAATGTTTGTAAGATTTCAAAAAAAAATCTTCACACAAGAGTTTGGAGAGAACGTGGCTGCCATCGAATGTGTGGAGAAAACAATGACGGGAAATGTGCATTATTAGGAGGGGGACTCGTACAGTAAACTACTGATAACTCATCACTTCAAGGGGAAAGGGCTCAATAACGAGTTGTCAGGAGTGACGAGTTAGGCATATGTATAAATGTGGCCAGGAGATTGACAGCATGTGGAGTTAAATAGTTCTGGCAAATTAATTCAGGGTCAAGTTATTAGGGTTAAACATGGGGTAAACTTCCACATGTTTGTGGATGACACAAACCTACTTTGCCTCCAGGAGCTTGTCTGGAAGACATCAGGGCCTGGATGAGCGCAAACTGAATATCAACAAGACAGAAGCCATCCTCCTTGGCTCCCGTCAATGTCTTCTGACCTGCGGCTTTGACCTCCTCAATGTCCCCTGCCTCTCCCTCAGGCTCACAGAACCGGTTGGGAACCTAGGCGTCAGGTTCGACCCACAGCTGTACTTCCTTTGCCACATCTGGTCCCTGCCTTCCTCCACCCTTGCCACATTGCCTGTCTCCGATCTTATCTTACCCCAAAAGCAGCCGAAACACTCGTCCTTGCGTTCGTCACCTCCTGACTTGACATTTGAATTGCCCTCCTCACTGGTCTCCCCAGATCCACCATGCACAGGATCCAGCTAATCCAAAACTCCGCCACCCTCCGCATACTCATCCAGACTAAACTCCGTACCCCAGTTCTAGCCAGGCTCCACTGGCTCCTTATCACGAATGGATTGATTTCAAGATCCTCAAACTCGTTTTCATATAAACAAAATGTATCAAAGTCCTTCACAGAATTTTACTGCAGTGTAGGGAGTATAGGCAAACTACGTCGACAATTTACTAACAAACATGAAGTGAAGGATCATTTTTATCTACAGAATTGTTGGCCCAAACATGAGGGGAAACTGAAGTTTCAGATCATCGACCTGAAATGTTAATTCACTTTCCTCTCTCCATAAATGTGGCTCGACCTGCTGAGTGTTCCCAGCAACTTCTATTTTTATTTCAGATTCCCAGCATCTGCAGTATTTTGCCTCCCCAGCTCACAAAGGCGCTATACAAATGTAATCTTGTTGTTGTTGTGATTCAGAGAAACACCCTTTTCTTTACAAATAATGCTAATTAACTCCATTTGAACAGGCAGAATGGAAAATCAGTTTAATGCCTTAAATGTCTCAAATGTTTCTTCCTGTCATGTTATTGCTCTTTCATATTTGAACAACTCCTTTTGAATTCTCTCCCCCCCACCACCAATCATTTAATCTCCAAACAACTGAGTGCTTCGTGCACTACACTACTATCAATAACTCCATTTAATGGTCTGGACACCTAATTTTTGGAAGAATTCATTAGGCTTGAAGGGTGATGATTAAATTAATATCAGGACAAAGAGGTCCAGCTATAATCAAAGGCTAAATAAAGTAATTATATTTGGAGACAAGAGTTTGAGGGGGGATCAGAATGAGGTGTTCTGAAATAATGAAGGAAATCGATAAGTAATCCCTCTTGCCTCTGGTAGAGGGATCTAACCTAGAGGGCTTAAAATTACATAGAAAAGTTTAGAATTTTTTTTTGGAATAGAGGGTTACGAAAACATTCAATTTGCTGTCAGAGGTGGTGGAGACAGAATCAATTAGGACATTTAAAAGGGTAACAGATAGATACCTGGTAAATAAAGATATTAAGGGATACAGAGAAAGGACAGAGGAACTAGATTTACACTGAAAAAGCCTAGTCCTGAATTCCACCCAGAACTTGAATTCTGCTTTCAACGTTTTGCTGTTTACAGCTACTGAGATATCTATATTGCTTCCAGTTAAAGGTTTATAGATTCAGAAAAAAATAACATTTACTGCATTTATTCCAAAAGCAAAGTACATTTTACATTATCAGTCAAATGTTTTGAGCACCTGGAATGTTCAATAATGTTACATTATCACATTTATGAATATATTTGTTAATATTTTTAGCCCATGTTCATGTACTTAAAAAAATTAAAATGCTCTCTCCCTTAAGAAAATGAAGTTGGTATTATAACATCCAATTTGCAGAATATCAGAACTGACATTGCATCTGAAACTTGTGTAAGGAACATGGATATTGAAAAAATGAAAAAAGCTTCTTAATGTAGCAGATTGCAATACTTTTCACAAAGAAAATCAACCCATTATTTTGCCCAGCATTCTTGTGAATATATTGCTTTCTTGTATACATTGCTTTCTTGTAATTCAATAATGGACTAAAAACAAGGAAAAAAGTACTAAGGCGTAAGGCCTGCCTACGCAAAGTTGTGCAAAGCCAATCTAAACATGTCATTCATGCAGATCCATCTTTTGTCCATATTTTTCAGAACAAACAACTGCTGAAAGCCCATCACTGGGTCATCATCCACCTAGGAAAGATAAGGAAAAGTTACACTGGCTTTATTTTGTGATCAAAAAAAAAGACATTTAAGATAATTTTTTAATGACTCTGAAGTAGATTTTGTGCGATTGGAGAAAATCAATAAGTATTTAATTCACTATTAAAAACAGGCATACAATACAAATTTACATTTATATAACACCTTTCATGTCAGGAGGCGCCCCAAGACGCTTAGAAAATAATAATCCCTCCAAAACCCCAAAACAATAATAAATTGGTCATTTTCAATCTACGACTGTTTGTGGGACATTGCTGTGCGCAATTGGCTGCCGCGTTCGCCCACAAATATACAGTCAATTCACTTTACAGTGTGTTCTGTGAAGCGTTTTGGGACGTCCTCCCGACGTGAAAAGCGCTATATCAAATGCAAGGATTATTATTATAAAATAGCATAGTTTACATGGAAACTCAAAAAATTAAAAAGCTTTTACGCTCAGTGGAGCTAATGCACAATCTCGTAATCAGGTTTCTATCAGTAGCTTTCATCAAGTGTGATCACAAAGAACAGGATATAGAGGTTAGGTATAAACTGGATTTGGCTCAGATTAAATCAAAGAAAAAATATGGTAAATACATGTAGATTAGCAATGGGAAATTTTCAAACTTGAGATGGATTGGCTTCAATCACATTTTGCAGTAAGGAAAAAAAAGTGAGTGATAAAGGCTCTCTCGTTCCACAGATAATTCAGGGTATCAACTCAAATAGGAATTTAAAGAAGCATTAAAGCAAGGGGATGCTGATAATAATCCTCACATTTGATATTATCATGTGCCTTATCTTGTTGAAGCATCTCAAAGCATTTTATAGGATTTAATGCAAACTATAATGACTGAATTTAGCAGGCAAATGCAACAGCCAATTTGCGCACTGCAATGTTAATATCCCACACGAACAGCCATGAAGTGTTTGATCAATTTTATCTGCGGATTGTTGGCCAGAGTGCCATGAGAAACTCCCTAATCTTTTTGAACAGTGCTGCAAGGATCTATAATGACTTCCTGAACAAAGAATTGGGATCTCGATATAACATCTCCTCTGAAGGATAGCAACCTGAACAAAGCAGGGCTTCTTCAGCATCAGTTAGAAGGGAGTTACCAGCTTGCATTATTTCTTGTTGATTTTAACAACACAACAGAGAGATCACACGAAGTGGAGAAAAAAAAAATGAAAGGAGCGGGGTGTCCCATTTGAGTTACTTGCAGATAGTCGAATTTCAGTCTTGTAATGCTTTAGGAGAGATTATGTTACCAAGTGTAAGCACCTCTTAATGAAATTATCCATTGGGGGTGGATAGAACAAGAATCTAAATTTCATATAGCATTTTCATGTCAGGACTTTGGCTCAAAGTGCTCCAGAGCTGACTGGTAACCTGAGTGAGGGGCGAGCGAGAGGGGTGTAAAGTAACCTGGTGATCCAGTGATTGTTCCTATTACAGTGGCACACAAACTTCTATAACATCACAAAATATAAACATTTCCAATGGGGAGTGGTGGGGGCGAGGGGAAACACTTTTAAGTAACATTGACTGTTGGTAGAAAATCCAGTTATAAAACCAACGCCTGCTGGATACACAGACATAACATATAGCACACATCTCTACATAGCTAGATGCTGATCTCAAGATTGAGAGTGTTGTCAATCAGTACCCACTCAGAGAGACCCTCATTGCCCACACACTCACCTGTAACTGTCCTACGACCATAGTGAGGACTGAGCCGTCTACTGTGGGTTGATGGTCGTGAGTAGTTACACTATGCTGAATTTTCTGGAATGGTAAGCTCTAAAGGATTCATTAAAGAAGAACATGTTAAATACTATATGAATTAAGACAGAAACCTCAAAACAGTGAGAACTGGTCCCAGCAATTCCGGCAACTTAAAAAGAAGCAACTCCAGATATTGATCAACTTATTCTAGGCACACCTGTCAGGCTCTACAGTCTGCTGTGTTTTTCTATTAAAAAAGCTTCTCATTATCTCCCATTCCAACTTTTTGTTTAAAATGAATGTCCACATTTCCTCTTCCTTTGGGAGAGAGCAGACTCTGCGCTACAAGATACACAGCTGAACACCCTCAGCCATAACTAATAGGGATTGAGACGAGACACAAAATCAGGTATTCGTTTGTGGACTTACAAGAAAAAAAGTAATGACAAGCAAAAATGTGAGGTTTCTCATCAGATCTGGCTGTTTTTTGTGTGCCAAACCATATTGGTGAGGGGGAGGAGAGAACAGAAATGCATAATATAGCCCATAATACAACATTCACACTCCAGCCCAATCCTGCCCTCAAATACCCACTTGGGAGTGACCACGGGTGGGAACCCTCTTCTCAAGCTGATTTTTCCTCTTCTTGGCCAAGGGCGCTAAGGCCATTCTTAATACTTCACTGCTAACCTAGCTCATTTTCACCCAGAAGTGGTTTAACCGATTCAACTATTTCCACCATTGAAGAGTGATGAGATATTGGATCTCTGGGGGATGGAGCAAAATGAGCCCAATTGAAACACATCATCGTTTCCCCTCCTAATCCTTCAGAAAACTGAAGATGCTAAATTTCGAGTTGATGTCCCAGCCATCATTAGGAGCTACAGGCACCTTTGATAAATAGCCTGAGAGAGATTGCACGTTTCCCCAAAATGTTGATTGTATACAAGGTTACTTTCCCAGTGACACAAAACTAAAGTTTGTAAGTCTACCCGTAACTATATTCCCAGAGTAACCTTAGTAGAAAAGGCAATTTAAGAACTAGCTTCTGGAGAAGAGCGCATCTACTTCCTCCTTTATATAATGAAAGTGCTGATTGTTTCATTCCTACTGAGAAATTACATTTGTAAACCGTGGGCTCCAATGCAACATTAAGTTTCATTCATATCAGCACTAACCACAGTGTAAAGCTTAAACAGCATCTGGGAGGATATAACTAATTTACCCATACATTTATTTTTTCCATTATTGCAGTTTTTCCTTGGAACTGTTGTCCTTCCCATGTTAAACAAGAAGATTCACCCTGAAATTGAAAAAGATTTTAAAAATTAGCTGCACTTTATGAAGAAAAAAAGATTAGGCAACCTTTGAGGTGAGAAAGTATGGCAATCAGAGATACTCCTTTATTTTACAAATTTTACAAATACTCTTTATTTTTGGAATGGCATAGTATCAGGCTAATATAGTGCAGAATTAGTAGTCGACAGAACTAGTCTCAGTCTGGCTCAGTGGTAGCATTCATGCCTCTGAGTCAGAAGATTGGGTTTCAAGCTCCACATCGGGACTTGGACTCACATAGTCTCAGTGCAGTGCTGGAGCAATGCTGCTTTGTCGGAGGGGCTCTCCTTTAAGATATACTTACATACAGAGATCCCAGTTCTGATCGGTTTGTATCGAACTGTTGATAATAGACCTGCACAAAACCTGCACCAACTTGTTCCCATATCGGGGATTCACCCATTATGACAGTGAACTGGCAGCAAATTCAGACCTGTCAAAACAGAAAAAGACTTTTAAAGCATCTACAATGTCTCAAAGTACCTCAAAGTAATTCCTAATAAGCCCAATGAGTTTTTAATGTGGACAATTAATCTGTAAGATACTTGGTCACAACACCAGGAGAAACTATCTTCTCTATTTGAGTCGTGCCATGTGATCTTTATCATCCACTTAAACAGCACCTTTACTATTCTTCGGATTCTCAACATTCTTCGGATGTCTCATTACCAACCAATGTCTCATCCGAAGAATGGTATCTCCGGCAATGCGGTGCACCCTCAGTAGTGCTGAACTGACTGCTTAGACCAGCGTTTCTCAAATCCGGCCACCACAACGCGGCCACCCATATGATTTTGTGTGACCACAGTCGTGCCCCCCCCCCTCCAACAACAACAACAAGATTCCATTTATAGAGCGCCTTTCACGTCGGGAGGACGTCCCAAGGCGCTGTACAGTTGGGTCAGGATCCGAGCATTGGGGGGAAATGGTCAGGGGGAGGGAAGGGAGGGAGCGAGGAGGAGGTAGAGTCGAGAGGGGAGCTGAAGGTACGGTCAAAGAGAAAGGTCTTGAGACCGGCCTTGAAGGAGGAAAGGGAGGAGGCGGCGAAGGCACTGGGGCATAGAGTTCCAGAGCCTCGGGGCTGAGAGGCTGAAGGCCCGGCCACCGATGGTAGGGCGGTTGGGGCGGGGGATGTGGAGCAGACCGGAGCCAGAGGAACGGAGGGTACGGGCAGGTAGGTAGGGGGATAGTAGGTCGGAGAGGTAGGAGGGAGCAAGGCCGTGAATGGCCTTGTAGGTGAGGATGAGGATCTTGAATTCGATCCTCTGGGGAATGGGGAGCCAGTGGAGGCGAGCGAGGGTGGGAGTGATGTGGTCCGAAGCCTGGTGCGGGACAGTACACGAGCTGCAGAGTTCTGAATGACCTGCAGCTTGTGGAGGGAGGTGGCGGGAAGGCCGGCGAGGAGAGAGTTCCCATAGTCCAGCCTTGAGGTGATAAAGGCGTGGACCAGGGTTTCAGCAGCGTGAGGGGTGAGGTAGTGCCGTAGTCTGGCGATATTCCGGAGGTGATGGAAGGCGGTGCCAGTTGTGGCGCAGATATGAGGGAGAAAGGACAGCTCAGGGTCGAACAAAATCCCGAGGTTCCTGACGGCTTTGAGAGGTGGAGAGTGCAGCCTTCGATGCTAATGCTGTCAGCGCCTGAGGTGCGGAGGCGCTGACGTGAGCCAATCAGGAGGGCCTCAGTTTTGTGCACATTGAGCTGAAGAAAGTTGTCTCTCATCCAGGACTCGATGTCGGACAGGCTGTCAGGACATCGGTGGTCGTGGAGTTGAGGGTAGAGGAGGAAAGGTAGAGTTGGGTGTCATCCGCATACATGTGGAAGTTAACCCCATGTCTGCGGATGATGGCACCGAGGGGGAGCATATAGAGGGTGAAGAGGAGGGGACCGAGGACAGAGCCCTGAGGGACACCGCACGAGACAGTGCGGGGGCCGGAGGAAAAGCCCTCCGCCCTCCATGTGAAGTGTGCAGCTGCTATCAGCCAGCTTTCACATCTGGCTTTATTACTGGTCATTACTGATCATGCAAAGCAATAGAACTTGCAATCACACGTTTGTTTTGGGGACTCACTGTTAACAGCTAATCCGATTATAAATGCACTGACAATTCTGATCCTTTATTCACGTAGACTGCAACGATCATCTCAAGTGCTGCAAGTTTGATTGAGAAAGCCTAAGGTAATCTATTCACTTAGATATCGAAAACCACTAGTAGATGCCAATGTTTTTCTGCACTATTGGCCACAAAAACACAGTCGTTCTATTTTACAGTATATTCTGTTAAGTGTTTTGAGACATTCTACTGATATGAAAGGCGCTACGTCAAATGGAAGGATTATTTTTATTATTGTTGTGACAACTGACCAACAAAATATACAATCACTGAACTGATTAGACAATGAATCTAACTTGTCAATTCATGCAGAAAAGCGCTTCTAAAGAGCGGGGTTCTGCTTTTATTTAAGAAAGTCCAATCAATGGCTCTTACAGAGTAGAGCAACGAGGACAGGACCCATCACGTTACACCTACCAAACTGGACTATGAGTGGGTCCGCAGTTAGGTGTGCTCTGCCCTGTGCTGCCCAGTCCTACAATGACCACAGATCTCTGTCCGACTTTCTCAATCTCAACCACAGACTGGGTCATCCCTAAAGCATGAAGCCATTAAAGGATGCGAAGCGGCTCGGACGCCCTGGGCCACCTTCAGCGGGTTCCCACTGATAGCTGTACCTGACACGGAGCTGCTCTGGCCATCGAGGAAGGAAGGCGATGGTGCCCCCAAGAGCATAGGCTCCACTTCAATATAAAGTCCTGGTCATTCACCCGGACTCAAATCGAGGGGTCCTGGCCCCAGGCCGCAGCTTTCTGCGCTCCAGCAAACAGTGTTGCCGAACCACCATCTCTGGGACCGGTAAAGTAAGTAACCGAGTGAAGGAGCGACCAAAAGGCTTCCCTTCCCTTCCCTCAGCCCAGACCCCGAGCACCGCTCTCACACCCACACACCCACACCGCCCACAGCACAGCACAGCACAGCACAGCAGCTCTGGTTCAGCCTCAGAGCGACAGCAGCCACGAGGCCGCGGGAAGGAAACCAACGGTCACTCCCAATAGATCACATCCCGGAACACATGCGGCAGCAACACCTGGAAGCCCTCCCCCTCCCTCCCTCCCCATCTCTCTCTCCCTCCCCATCTCTCTCCCTCCCTCCCCATCTCTCTCTCCCTCTCCCTCCCCATCTCTCTCCCTCCCTCCCTCCCCATCTCTCTCTCCCTCTCCCTCCCCATCTCTCTCTCCCTCTCCCTCCCCATCTCTCTCCCTCCCTCCCTCCCCATCTCTCTCTCCCTCTCCCTCCCTCCCCATCTCTCTCTCCCTCTCCCTCCCCATCTCTCCCTCCCTCCCTCCCCATCTCTCTCCCTCCCTATCTCTCTCTCCCTCCCCATCTCTCTCCCTCCCTCCCTCCCCATCTCTCTCCCTCCCTCCCTCCCTCCCCATCTCTCTCTCCCTCCCTCCCCATCTCTCTCTCTCTCTCCCTCCCTCCCCATCTCTCTCTCCCTCCCTCCCCATCTCTCTCTCTCCTCCCTCCCTATCTCTCCCTCCCTCCCCATCTCCTCCCTCCCTCCCTCCCTCCCCATCTCTCTCTCTCTCTCTCTCCTCCCTCCCCTCCCTCCCTCCCTCCCCATCTCCCTCCCCATCTCTCTCTCTCCCTCCCTCCCCATCTCTCTCTCTCCCTCCCTCCTCATCTCTCTCTCCCTCTATCTATCTCTGTCTCTATCTCTCTCTCCCTTCCTCCCTCTACTCTCTCTCTCTCCCTCCCTCCCTCCCTCTCTCTATCTCTCCCTCCCTGTCTCTCCCTCTCCTCCTCCCTCTCTCTCCCTCACTCTTTCCTTTAAGTGATCTTATTTTTGGAGAGGAAAACACAGAGAGAGAGAAACAGGAAAACAAATGCCCCTTTCGCTTAAACACACACACACGTTGGGAATGATCATTAATATCATTATTATTAATCATCATATACAAGACTCGCTGTGAAGAAAAAGAGAAGCCCCTTTTTGGGGGGAGGGAGTGTGGAGAAAAGCCTCGGGTTCAGGCCACAAGAACATAACCCCCGGCGGCGGGTACAGAGAGTATACACACACAGGGGGCAGGGGGGTACACACACACAGGGGGTACACACACAGGGTCAGGGGGGGTACACACAGGGTCAGGGGGGGTACACACACACAGGGGGTACACACACACAGGGGTCAGGGGGGGTACACACACAGAGGGGGGTACACACACAGGGTCAGGGGGGGTACACACACACAGGGGGTACACACACACAGGGGTCAGGGGGGGTACACACACAGAGGGGGTACACACACAGGGTCAGGGGGGGTACACACACACAGGGTCAGGGGGGGTACACACACACACAGGGTCAGGGGGGGTACACACACACACAGGGTCAGAGGGGGTACACACACACACAGGGTCAGGGGGGGTACACACACAGGGTCAGGGGGGGTACACACACACACAGGGTCAGGGGGGGTACACACACACAGGGTCAGGTGGGGTACACACACACAGGGTCAGGGGGGGTACACACACAGGGTCAGGGGGGTACACACACAGAGGGGTACACACACAGGGGGGGTACACACACAGGGTCAGGGGGGGTACACACACACACAGGGTCAGGGGGGGTACACACACACAGGGTCAGGGGGGGTACACACACACAGGGTCAGGGGGGGGTACACACACACAGGGTCAGGGGGGGTACACACACAGGGGGGGTACACACAGGGTCAGGGGGGGTACACACACACAGGGTCAGGGGGGTACACACACACAGGGTCAGGGGGGTACACACACACACAGGGTTGGGGGGGGTACACACACACAGGGTCAGGGGGGGTACACACACACACAGGGTCAGGGGGGTACACACACACAGGGTCAGGGGGGGTACACACACAGGGTCAGGGGGGGTACACACACACAGGGGGTACACACACACAGGGGAGGTACATACTCAGGGGGGGGAGGTACACACAGGGTCAGGGGGGTACACACACAGGGTGGGGGAGGGGTACACACAGGGTCAGGGGGGTACACACACAGGGTGGGGAGGGGTACACACAGGGTCAGGGGGGGTACACACACACAGGGGGGTACACACAGGGTCAGGGGGGTACACACACAGGGTGGGGGAGGGGTACACACAGGGTCAGGGGGGTACACACACAGGGTGGGGAGGGGTACACACAGGGTCAGGGGGGTACACACACAGGGTGGGGGAGGGGTACACACAGGGTCAGGGGGGTACACACACACAGGGGGGTACACACAGGGTCAGGGGGGTACACACACAGGGTGGGGGAGGGGTACACACAGGGTCAGGGGGGTACACACACACGGGGTGGGGGAGGGGTACACACACACGGGGTGTGGGGGGTAAACAGAGGCAGTGATGGTTACCGGTCTCTCTCTCTCTCTCTCTGTCTGTCGCTGCTCTCCGCAGTCGGTGTGAACGCTCGGCTCCCGCCCCCTCTCACACACACACACACACACGCGGTGACCTCTCGCTCCTCTCTCCCGCTCCGGGGATCAGCTCACCAGCGGCGCGCGCCCTCTGCAGTCCCCGGGCCTCACCAGGCGGTGGCGCTGTCACCCACGCCCGCGCACGCGCACACGCGCTCACACACACACACACACGCACGCACGCACGCACGTGGCCGCTCTCCCCGCCCTTCGCTGCCTTCGCTCCAGAGCGCCACCTAGTGACCCCCGGGGACAACACGCCATCAATCCACAGGCGGCGGACCAGGTCCACCCCGTCTGGACCCCATGACCAGCGCCCATTCCCAGATCTTATTCCCCGTCCCACGTCCCAGAGTAACTTCCCTCTGGTCGCCGCGTCCCGCTGCGGATTGCGACCTCATTTCACCGTCCTCGCGTCTGACGGTACCGTGGAGCGCTACGGGTCGTTGTCACATTTAAATAACGATAACAATCCTCGCATTTGACCCAGCGCTTCTCACGTCGGGAGGACGTCCCAAAGCGCTTCACAGAACACACCGTAAAGTGAATTGACTGTATGTTTGTGGGCGAAACGCGGCAGCCAATCGCGCACAGCAATGTCCCCACAAACAGTCGTGGATTGAAAATGACCAATTTATTATTGTTTTTTGGGTTTTTGAAGGGATTATTATTAGGGCTGTGTGTGGAGTAAGGAAACTTGCCCAAGGTTTCGCCCTCTGCCTGGAATTGAACTCAGGTCTCTCGCTTGCAAAGCGAGTGCTCTAACCACTGAGCTACAGGACTCCACTTTGGGAACACGTCTCAAAGTGCTTCTTAGGAATTAATGTAAAGTACGATTGACTGTATTGACTGTATTGCACGCAGCAATGTCCCATAAACGCGCTATATCAAAAGCCAGGATAAACCACCACTAGTGTGCCATAAACTACCACGAGTGACCAATTATTAATTGGGGGATTGCTGCCCAAAACACCGGGTGAAACCCCCCCTTTTCGAATCATAGTACCTTGGGATCTTTAATATCTGCCTGAGCTGGGATGATGGGACCTCAGATTAATACAATGTATGTCACCCTGGCTCAGTTGATAGCACTGTCGCCTTTGAATCGGAAGGTTGTGGGGGCTGTCCTCACGTCAGGACTTGGAACCCATATATATATCTATGCTGATATTCCAATGCAATACTGGTGTTGGGGGAGGGGGGGTGGGGGTCAGGGGAGCTGCATTTGAGGTGCTATCCCTTGGCACAAGATTATGTGGAGTACTGGGGTGAGGAGACGTACAACCTGCTGACTCAGAGGCAGTGTCTGAGGTAGTCTAACAAAGCACTTCATGGGCAATGAATCTATGACTCCTGCCCTCAGCCTATGCTAGCTTCTCTTGTATATCACTGGGAAACATCAGGGTGTTGCAGAACAGGAAGTGGGTGCTTTGACCAAACCCAGACTCTTCTTTTCTACCATTATCCAACTCCTGTGTCCACCCTCCCATGCCATCGCCATCCTCTCCTCCAACACCAAATGCAAGATGATGGATTTCCTTGAGTCCAACGTCAGGGAATCTGCTCTGCCACCTCAACCCCTTCTACCTCCACCCCGTCCCCACCTCTCGCTCCCCTTTCCAGGCCCCACCCATCCCTCCCTCCATACTTTTGGCTCATTCCCTCTTCACCCTCTTTGCTCACCTCCATCATTTTCCATATGAAACTGACTACCTGCTCCATTGACCCCATCCCTACCCCTCTCCTCACCTCCCAACTCCACCTCCTTGCCCCAACTAACAGATCTTGTTAACCTCTCCCTGTCTACTGGCACCGTACCCATCCCCCTAAAGACAGCTGTCATCACCCCTACCCTCAAAAATCCTTTCCTTGACCTGTCTCTGCCTCCAACTACCGTCCCATTTCAAACCTTCCTTTTTTTTCCAAAGTCATGGAACGAGTTGTCACTTCCCAGCTTCGCTCTTTCCTCTCCCAGCATTCCATCCATGATTTCCTCCAATCTAGCCCTGGTCAAAATGACAAATTACATTCTGTCCACCTGCGACCAGGGCTCTCTCGGTCTTCTTGTCCTTCTCGACCGCTTTCAATACCATCGACCATTCCATTCTTCTCCACCGCCTCTCCTCAACAACAACAACAAGATTCCATTTATAGAGCGCCTTTCACGTCGGGAGGACGTCCCAAAGCGCTGGACAGTTGGGTCAGGACCCGAGCAGGGGGGAAATGGTCAGGGGGAGGGAAGGGAGGGAGCGAGGAGGGGGGAAATGGTGAGGGGAGGAAACGGAGGGGGCGAGGAGGGGGTAGAGAGTTGAGAGGGGAGCTGAAGGCACAGTCAAAGAGAAAGGTCTTGAGACCGGCCTTGAAGGAGGAAAGGGAGGAGGCGGCGAAGGCACTGGGGGATAGAGTTCCAGAGCCTAGGGGCTGAGAGGTTAAAGGCCCAGCTACCGATGGTAGGGCGGTTGGGGCGGGGGATGTAGAGCAGACCGGAGCCAGAGGAACGGAGGGTACGGGCAGGTAGATAGGGGGATTGTAGGTCGGAGAGGTAGGAGGGAGCGAGGCCGTGAATGGCCTTGTAGGTGAGGATGAGGATCTTGAATTCCTCTGCCTCAACAGTTCTGTCCTTGCCTGGTTCCAATCCTACCTTTCCTATCGTCTGCACTTCGTGTCCACCAACGGCTTCTCCTCCAGTCCCCGCACTGTAACGTGTGGCATCCCTCAAGGGTTCTGTCCTCAGTCCCCTCCTCTTCAGTCTATACCTGCTCCTGCTCGGTGATGTCATCTGCAGGCATGAGGCCAATTTCCACATAATAATAATCCTTGCATTTGATATAGCGCTTTTCACGTCGGGAGGACGTCCCAAAGCGCTTCACAGAACACACTGTAAAGTGAATTGACTGTATATTTGTGGGCAAACGCGGCAGCCAATTGCGCACAGCAATGTCCCACAAACAGTCGTAGATTGAAAATGACCATTTTATTATTGTTTATGGTTTTGGAGGGATTATTATTAGGCTCTGTGTGGAGTAAGGAAACTTGCCCAAGGTTCCGCCCTGCCTGGAATTGAACTTGGGTCTCTCGCTTGCAAAGTGAGTGCTCTAACCACTGAGCTACAGGACTCCACATGTATGCAGATGACACCCAACTTACCACCTCCACCCTCGACTCCAGGACCATTGATGTCCTGGCTAATTGTCTGTTTGATATCAATCCCTGGACGAGAACCAACTTCCTCCAGCTCAATGTTGGCAAGACAGAGGCCCTCCTGCTTGGCTCCCAGCAACGCCTCTTCACCTCAGCCGCTGATATTATCACTATTCATGGCTGCACTCTTCACCTCGCCGAGCCAATACGAAACCTTGGTGTGATTTTTGACACTCAGCTATCCTTCAAACCCCACCTCTGCAACATTGCCTGCCTCTGCCACTGCCCCTCACTGCAGCCTGCCGAGACCCTGATCCACGCTTTCATCATGTCCCTGCTTGACTACGCCAATTGCCTATTCACTGGACTTCCCAACTCTTCACCTCCACAAACTGCAGATTTTCAGAACCCTGCAGCTCGCATAGGATCTGCGAACCAATCACCCCCGTTCTTGCCCAACTTTACTGGTTCCCCATCACTCACAGAATAGAGTACAAAACCCTCATTCTCACCTTCATAGCCCTCCACTGTCGAGGGGGTCTCATCTCCTAAACCCATATCAGTCTGTCCGTTCCCTGTGCTTGGCAGATTCTGGCCTGCTTCAGGTCCCCCACTCCACCATTGGCTGTCGGCCATTCAGCATCTCTGCCCCACACTGAAACTCTATCCCGCAATCCCTCCGCCTCACCCCCTCTCTTGCCTCCTTCAAGTCCCATCTAAAGGCCTTCCTCTTCGACCGTGCCTCCCACCCCTACTGACCTCAACTCCCAGCTCAGGTCCAAAACCCCCAGACTGTTAAAAGCTCTGGGACGTATTTTGGACGTGAAGGACGCTATACAAGTGTAATTTGTTGCTGTTGTAAGCCAATCATTCACCTGGCCATAGGAAAGTTCAATACAGGTTGTACATTGCTGCATATGCATTAGCACCAAATGTTTCAGAGGGGGGGCAAGCCATGGAAATGGGGTTTGGTGCTTTTGTACTGACATCCAGGCTACTCCTAAGTAGCCATACCCATTAAATGCACCAGGTCCCAAGAAATACCAGGATATTTTCGCTAATAAGTGTAACTTACTGCCAATGTTATTTTTGAAAGATCAATTTTGACCAAAATAAGGCAGTAAATTATAGAAAACAGAAAGGTAATTGAAAGCAAAATTTAAAAAAACTTCTCTCTCTCACAGCAGTTCAATTGAGATCAGGACTAAACTAAAAATGGAACTCTTTCTACTGGTGGGTGGGTTGGTAACCAGAGGACATAGATTTAAAATAATTGGCAAAAGAACCAGAGAGAGATGAGGAGAAATGTTTTTGTGCAGCAAGTTGCTACGATCTGGAATGCACTGCCTGAAAGCGTGCTTGAAGCAGATTCAATAATAATTTTCTTTAGGGAATTGGACGTATACCTGAAAAGGAAATGTTTGCAAGGCTATGGTGAAAGAGCGGGGGAGTGGGACTAATTGGATAGCTTTCAAAGAGGCACGATGGGCCAAGTGGCCTCCTTCTGTGCTGTAAGATTCTATGATTCTAAATAATCATGGGTATGAATCTTCACTCTACTATCTCATATTGAAATATACTGAAACACAACTTCTGTAAGCTAACTCCAAAATGTCATCTTTCCAAAGTTAACATAACATTTAGGTTATGTATTCATGTATATATATATTTAGAAGTATTAAAATATGTTTGAATTAGGAAAATCACTGTTGGGCAGGTGAAGGATTATAGGCAATAATTGTCTTTAGTTCATAGCAATAAACATAAATATCAATTCTAAATTTCATGTATAAGTATTGCTTTACAACTTTATTCATTTAGTACATTTTTCTATAGATTTTAGTTTATTTTCGATCCTCTTCATCATCTGTTTCCAGCTCATTGATTTCCTCATCAATCCCTTTTAGTTCCTTTTCGCCGTCTGAAAACACATCACGTGTTCTAGTTTCTGCATTATATTTTTCTGACAAGAATCTTTCAGGTGTAATGTCATCATCAAATCCATATTTTGTCTTTTTCTTCTTGATTCTCTTCAGTTTTCTAAGAAGAGCTAGTTGTTCTTGCTGCTGTTCTGCCAATGCAAAGGTTTTTGTTTCAAACAATTTTTCACTGCTCCTCTTTTTGTAGTCAAGTATTTGCTTGTTAAGTAAATCATGGTCGATACCAAAAAGATTAATGTTATGAGTTGGAGGCAGGTCAGACAAGACTGCAGTAGATGCTGGAGAAACTATACACTCTGAGGAACTGTTTGGAGCAACCTCACTGAAATTTAAAAAATGTAAAAGCAGACATTATGATCTGGAGAAAATGAAAATGTTTGGAGAACAGATATTTTTCAGCCAAATACACATATTATAATAATGATAATCCTTGCATTTGATATAGTACATTTCACGTCGATAGGAAGTTTCAAGTAGCTTTAAAACATTTTACTGTAAAAATACTGTATAGTTACTCCGTCAATTTTTGTAGGTGAATGCAGGAACTAAGTTGTGCACAGCAATGTCCCACAAATAGCCATGAAGTGAATACAGAATTTTGTCTGGGAGACTGTTGGCCCGGACCAGAACAGGCATAGACAGAAGTTCGATTTAATGCCTCATCTGGACGGCAGCACCTGCAGCAATGCATCATACCTCCAGCACTGCATTGTTGTGTCAGCATAGACTATGTGAGTTCAAAGTCCCGATACTAAATACATTCCGCAGTGGTTTGTTTTAAAACACTTTTAAGTTTTTCACTTTTATAAATTCTATTAATTGTTCTCTTGCTGTAGCCTAATTAACATATAGGATTGCACAGAAAATGAAATTGATTTACACAAAGACACACAGGAGAAGTAACAAATACAGAATTAATGTAAGATTCATGTGTTCCTGGTCTCCTCTTCCACTTTAGGGGCGTCACATTTCATCAGGATTATCTACATCCTTCACATTCAATGTCAAGAACACTCCGATCAACAACACAATGGTGTTTTTGAGAAGCAGGACAAAGCTTGAATTCTTTCCCCCTCCATAAATCCAAGATTGCTCTCAGTTTAGACACAGTGAAAAACTGCCCAAACCTGCTCAGTCAGGGTAGACAACATGGGGTCATGAACGAAGAAAATTGAGCTCCCTTATCTCATGTTCTTGTTTTTACTGATGTGTTTATATAGAAGAGAAATATTGACCTTGGGGATCTTTGGTATTTACTTGTATGAGTGTGTAGTACCAGTCTCAAAAATCTAACTGTAGTCCTTGTTCTGTTAAGTGGAACATAGCCTGAGATTAGGCCCAGGCCAACATTTGACAAAAAATAGCTGCTGTAAGAGAAGTGTGGCTATTGTGACGTGATTATAAAGAGATCGATTGGAAAGAGCAAGGACAAGATCAAGGAAAAACGTTGTTTATGTTTTGGTACTGAATAACCTTAAAGTTGAAACAGTCTCTTGAGGGAACATTGGTAAGAACTATTTCCCAGATTGGTAATTATACCTTTCTGTTCATGCACTTCGCGACACAAAAGGTTTCTTTGATAAAACAGGTTATTGAAGGACCACCTGACTCTGTGAGCTTGATTATCGTGGTGTCCGAAATCTTAAATTATAAATAATTAAACTTCAAGGAATTTATTTAAAGTAGATATAAGATTGGCCCACTTGCAGTCAACAATTTATAGCTTGTGAACATCATTATCAACATTTACCTAAAGTCCTGGGTTTGTTCCACATCCAGCGTCTTTTCTTCAGGGCCAAAGTCAGCAAGTTCTAACAATCTTTCCACCTGCAATGATTAATAGTAATTTGTAATCTTCATGATTTAAAAGTCTGCATTTACGAGTAGATTTGCTGCATTATACACATATTTTGCAAATCACAAAACATTTTCCAGTGCAATTGTCAATCTAATAATAATCCCTGCATTTGATATAGCGCCTTATCACATCTTCAAGATGTTTCAAAGCACTTCACAGAATATACTATAAAGTGAATTGACTGTGTATTTTGTGGGCGAAATGGCAGTCAATTGCACCCAGCAATGTCCCATAAACAGTCATGGAATGAGTGACTAATTTATTACTATTTTTTCACACCAGTGGACATAGTTTTATTTTCATTAGGTTTTTACACTTGCAACAAACCTATACACTACATAAATGTACTGCAAACCTGATCTATCATCATTTTCTGCAGGACAGACCACAAGGGGCACAAGTAATAGCCATTGGTAGTGTTTTTTTTAAACTTACATTGCAGGTCACCAGAGTAGTATATGATCTCAACTCACCTCAGATACTATTGCAAATTCCTTGTCTCTAACAAAGACCACTGAAGGAATGTTGCCCTTGACTTGATGAGTAATGAGAAGGTGCCTGGAAGTTTTTGGAAAAGAAAAAAATGAAATGATTGAAGGATTAAAAATTATGCACATATACTATTGATAAGGGTTGCCAGCATAAAACATATACTTATGATTACTTTAATGCTGTAGATTAGTGAAACCTTGTATAGTTGACTCATATACTGCTGTATTACTATGTATTTTGCCTGTAATGGACATCATTGAACAATTGAAGTACAGTATTCTACCTTTAAGTGAAATTTGGTTAATGATTATACTTTATAACTTTGTAACCTTGCTAGGAATGAATTGGTGGACAATGGGAGGGAGGAGATGGCGCTGCTCCTCTGTTGGACGGAAAAAGGTAATGGAACTTCAGTTGACCTCGAATCCTGAGTAAGCCAGACAAAACCGTTGGCCCCGATGTGTCCGACTTAACTGGCTTCCACTGTATTAGTTTGAAAAGAAGTTAATAAACCAAAAAATGGACAAAATACAGTTGCCCAGGTGCACTGAATTGAAATGATAACCTTTGTTTTGAGTTAACATTTGATACATGCATGTCAGTTCTATGGAGCAATTTTACAGTAAAAGTTGATCCTTACATAATCTATAATTGCTTTATTAGGGTAATAGTGTTTTTATTATGTGAATTATGTTGAAATAAAGTAAAATCATTTATCTCTGAGGGAATTTTTTAGACCCGTTGGCAATGAATGGCTTAATTCTGACGTGCTTACTCTTTAGAAGAACTCGAGAAACAAAAACTTGGGAAATTTGATTTTTAACCTAAAATTGCAGTGAAAATCACAAACTAAGTTAAGTATCGATAGGAAATGCACAGGAACCAAGATAACAAAGTGACTGGGTCTGGTCATGGCTATTGATAGTAGTTTGGAACCAAAGTAAAAGTTACCCTGAATAGGTACGCTTTCCTCTCTTTAATGTCTTTGACCTGCCTGGTACTTTTAAGTAATGTATGTAAGGAATGTATTGATAAGTTTGTGACATGTCCCTTCCTTACTTGTTGGGATACATTAATGAGGAAAAGTGATATCACCAAATAGTTCCTGTATTGGTTAACAACAACAACAACAAGATTCCATTTATAGAGCGCCTTTCACGTCGGGAGGATGTCCCAAGGCGCTGTACAGTTGGGTCAGGACCCGAGCATTGGGGGGAAATGGTCAGGGTGAGGGGAGGGAAGGGAGGGAGAGAGGGGGGGTAGAGAGTCGAGAGGGGAGCTGAAGGCACGGTCAAAGAGAAGGGTCTTGAGACCGGCCTTGAAGGAGGAAAGGGAGGAAGCAAGGCAAAGGCACTGGGGGATGGAGTTCCAGAGCCTGGGGCTGAGAGGCTGGAGGCCCGGAGTTAAGAGGTAGAAGAAAGGGAATGTTTGTATTAGGGTGGCCTTACAACAATAACTTGCACTTATATAGTGCCCTCCAAGCAGGGTGGCGTCTCAAGAGCGCTTAACGATGGTGGAGCCTGACTCCAAGCTGGAGGGAGTGGGGAGGTGGCCGTAAGCACGGTTGAAGAGGAAAGTTTTCAAGCGGGACTTGAATAGGGGAGAGAGGAGGTAAGGTGGAGGGATTGAGGGAGAGTGTTCCAGAGTTTTAGGGCATAGTGGCTGAAAGCATGAACTCTGATGGTGGGGCGGAGAGTGCGAGGGACGAGCAGGAGGACGGTGCCAGTCGAGGCGCCAGGTATTGGATTGGGGAGTGAGGAGGTTGGAGAGGTAGGGAGGTGCCAGGGAGTGAATGGATTTGAACACGAGTGTGAGGATCTCAAAATGGGTCATAAATTGGAGAAAATTGAGTGCCAAGCTACCTTTCCTTATCGAACAAAGTCCGTGTTTCTACAAATGCAAACCAGTATGTGGTTAGAAATACAACTAGTGTTATAATCAAATCATTTTGTGGGATGAAAGATTAAAATTGAGGAAATTATATTTGTGAGATAAGTTAGATGGTTAGAGTTTAAGGAAGGATTACACAACCAAGTGGGTATAAAAGTAGCTGTTGTAGTTGATGTTCTTCAGAACAGACCCGAGGAAAGATGAAAAGAAACAAAGATAAAGGAAAGATACAGTAGAAAAAATTCCTGATTATATCGGTGTCTGAATAATTAAAATATAGTGATGATTTAAGACGTGACATAACGATGATAGTTGTAACATTTTGATTTGTTACTTGCCTATTTTTGAAAGAATATAGTCAGTGTTCTGTGTTTTGCGACTTCAACCTGCACCTTCATCCCCTCTTCCTCTATCTCCACCAACTTCTTCTCTCATGACCTCTCCCTCCTCATCCACTCTGCCACCCATGTTCATGGCCACCCACTCGACCTGATGAATACCCAGGACCTCAAGGGTCTTAGACATAGATAAAGCCATCTCACTTCCCATTTCATCATCCTTAACTCCTCAATCCCTCTCCCCACCAACACCGAATCCACCTCCATCTCCTACCGCCCCTGGAAAAGAATCTCCCCACATTCCCTCTCCACTGCCCTGGAGTGTCTGAACTCCTCCCACTCTGCCCTACCTCCTGCACCGATTATCCTCCTCGGTCAATCTCCTCCACAATTCCCTCTCCACCATTCTCAATGCCCTTGTCCCCCTCACCTTTCGGAGGGGTTTATAAAGGCGACGGGGACATCCAGCACGGAACAGCCCCGGTTAAGGTGACAAATGACGTTCTGCCCATCTGTGACCAGAGCTCCCTCTGTCCGCTCAACCTCTCTGCTATCTTCGACACCGTGGACCACTCTATCCGCCACCCCCCTCTCCTCTCACCTTAACCTTCAAGGTTCTGTCCTTGAATGGTTCAGATCATATCTCTCACATCAGCTGCACTTTGTCTCCATAAATGGCTCGTGTGGTGTTCCTCAGGCCTCAGTTCCCTCCTCTTCAACTTATATATGCTCCCTCCCTCTTCGTGACACCCAACTCCACCTCTCTGCCTCCACCCTCGACCACAAGATGTCCTGACAGACTGCCTGTAAGTCATCAAGTCCTGGATGAGAGCCAACTTTCTACAGTTTAACGTCAGCGATACCGAGGCCCTCCTGATTGGCTCGCGCCGGCACCTCTACTCCTCAGGCACTAGCAAATATCAGCATCCAAGGATGCACACTGCCTTCCCCCACCTCCACAACATTGTCCGACTCTGTCACTGCCTCACCTCTCATACATTTCTTCATTACAACCAGCCTCGACTGTGCCAATGCCCTGCTTATCGGCCTTCCCAACTCTTCCCTCCACAGGATGTAGATCATCCAGAACTCTGCAGCGCATGTCCTCTCCTGTACCAGGATCCGTGACCCCATCACACCCACCCTCACACGGCTCCACTGGCTCCCCATCCCCGAGGATCGAGTTCAAAATTCTCGTCCTCACCTTCAAGGCCCTCCATGGCCTTTCACCCTCCTACCTCTCCGACCTGCTAACCCCTTATCAACCTGTCCGCTCCCTTCGCTCAGCAAGCTTTGGCCTGCTCCATGTCCCCCGTCTGGCTCACACTACCATCGGCAGTCGGGCCTTCAGCCTTCTGCCCCAACCCGCTGGAACTCCATCCCACATTCCCTTCACCTCGCTCCCTCTCGTCTCCTTCAAAGCACCATGCTTCAAAACCCTCCTCTTCGACCATGCCTTTGGCCACACCGCCACCCTCTCTGACCGCCACCCTTCCTGATCCCAGCACCCCACCCCGCACGGGTTCTAATCCCTGATTGTTCAGCGCCTTGGGATGTCCTCCTGACGTGAAAGGTGCTTCAGGAATGTAATTTTGTATTATATTGAGATTCTACCCTGCATGGAGGGTGCTATACAAGTGCAAGTTGTTGTCGTTGTGTTGTAACATTCTCATAATCTCTCTTGCCATGAATGCTGGATTGAATATAACTAACCAGTTAAGGTATTGGTTTAACTGCCCAAGTTACGACAAGTAGCATTCAATTGGATTTTACCTTATACGGGCAGCATTTCTTTCTAGGACTTGCTGAATGTGATCATCTTTATCTGCAACACCACTTGTTATCCAGTAAACGCGACATGCTGAAAAATCCGAAGTCAGCAGGACCTGAAATAATGGCACATTAGTCAATTCCAATAAGACTGAATTCCCAAACTCTGCTGTAACTCATTTCAATATGGTAAATGCATACATAATTACAGGATCAGAAGCCAGTCATTCTGTTATTACATTCTGAACTATCACTGCAACATACAGCACCAATCCATTCAGGGTAACTTTTACTTTGGTTCCAAAACATACATCAATAGCTATGACCAGACCCAGGCACTTCATAATACAAACTTCTATCAACCATATAGAGCTTCTGTCCCCCTTTTGATTTTAAAAGGAATTTAAAAACAGAACTGTTTGATTGAGGATAATTTGTTTGAAGAAAAAAAATAGCCACCTTGGAGATCTCCACATTGAGGTCATACACTTCGGGGCTAATCTCATGAGTGCTAAACAGTTCCGCAATAGCTTTGTGGAAAACATTATTGAGTGTTCGTTTTCGTATTGTATCATCTTTCTTTGTCTTCTGCAGAGGCTTCAATAAATTCTCCAAACTTGAGGGCTTGTAAAGCTTGACAAGAAAAAGAGATTGTTACAGTTAATGGAATTAAGAACTGGAGGTCAACACAGTGAATATTGCACATTTATAAAAGTGCAATAACCAGTAATACACAAAGCAGGATAACGCGACATAGAAACACTTTGTTTGGTGAGATATACAGTACTCATAAATCCATAATTTATCTACAGCATCGGGTACCCTGAGATAGGTTACAAGTTCGCGCCACGTGCACAGATTTCAGGCCACTAAGACCTCATATCCAGGTTTAACTAAGCAAACGCTCCGCTCGCCAGACTAGCCAATTCTTCCCTATACAAGCTGCAGGTCATTCAGAACTCTCCAGCTTGTTTCCTTTCCCACATTAGGCTATGTGAGCCTATCACCCCCATTCTCGCCCAGCTCCATTTGCTCTCCATCAAATTCAAGATCCTTGTCCTCACTTTCAAATCCCTCCAGCCTCACCCTACCTCTGCGATCTCCTCACACCCTACCTACCTGTTCACCCCATTCGCTTAGCAAGCACTGACCTGCTTTATGTTCCCCACTCTATCCACCCTACACTGGGCTTTCTGTCCCCACTCTCTGAAACTCCATCCAGTTAATCATCAATGGAAATAATCTAAATGTTACAATATTGTAATAATAATTTGGTCACTCAAACCGCGACTGTTTGTGAGACACTGCTGTGCGCAATTGACTGCCGTGTTTCACTCACAAAACACACAGTCCCTACACTTTACAGTGTATGCTGTGAAGCGCTTAGAGACGTCTCGAAGACGTGATAAGGTGCTATATCAAATGCAAGGATTATTATTATTTACAGAATCTCTCCGACTCGCTCCCTCCCTCACTTCTTTCAAGGTCCATCTCAAAACCTTCTTCTTTGACTGCACCTTCGGACATTTTTCCCCTCTCCACCCCCTTGTCACCCACCGCTAGATCAGGTGCCAAGTCACCACTGTCAAACACCTTGTGACATCCACCCGACGTGAAAGGAGCTATATAAATGTAAATTTGTTGGTTGCTGTTGATGTTTTAATAACTCAATTTCAAACATCCTCTAGATACTTCAACTTTAACATACAATTCATAATGCAGTAATGTTACTATTTTATTTCAAAGCTTGTTCTAGGGAAGGGAATAAAGAGTGTATATATCTGCTATCTTTAATAATATTGCTCCCAAAATACGCGATCTCCCATATTTTAACAGAATGCTACACAAGATTAAATATATCTCACAATTAAAACACAAAGTGATCTAAAAACAAAGTTGAGAGTTGAATTTTTTCACCATATCTCACTTTCACCTCAAACAATCACATACTTTATCTAAATAGATGTGATTTTCTCTTAAAAATTGAAGAGCCGATGTCCAGACTGCTCAATTAAACAGTTTTCAAGGTTGAACGTTAGCAAAAAAAAGATAAGACAAGTTGGGGTTTCAAAATTTGTAGATTGTCAGAGTAAGGGAAGACTGGGGAGCTCTTGGGAAAAGACAAACTAACAGTAAGAAACTAATCTGAATTGAACAGATTTAGTAATCTGCAAATACATCCAAATTACAATACAGAATCCTACCTAATTAAATTCATTTAAAAGGTTCTGTTCTCATCACTAATGATAAATAGTAATGAACAATCAACGGCGATTTACAAAGTATTTGTGTTGAAACCCAGTTCTGCTATCTGGTGGACTCAACACTTGAATTGTCTCCAGGCAGATTCAGTAGAGCCGCCAGATTCATTCTGATGAGAAACCCGACTAAATATTTGTACTTTTCATAAACATATTGCAAGTTCAACATCAAAACCATACTCAACCCGAATATATAGTAGATTTGATGAGAAGTTAATGAGAGGCCCTGTCTGCCTATTCAGATGGATGTTAAAGATCCCATGGTATTATTTCAAAAGGGAAAGGAGTTTCTCTCGGCATCCTGGCCAACAATCTGCCAAATAAAATGAACTTCCTGGTCAATAAAATTGGTTCCTTCCTGGTTATTTGTGGAACACTGCTGTGGGCAAATTTGCTACCACATTCTCCTACAAAATGAATGCAAATTGCACCACTTTTTGCATTAAATCTTGTAATGAGCTTTGATGTGTCATCTCAACAACACAATAAGGCCATATAACAAATGCAAGGATTATATTTGTTGCAATAAGCTTTCATTCTACCTCTGAAAAATACCATTGCAGGGAAAAACTACTATTTTTTTAAAAGAAAGAAGGGTGTAGTAAATTTGCCTATGTACTAAAGGGACTGGTTAATATAGACCATTATAAGCTGTTTTATCTGTCCAGAATAGTAGAACCCGAGGACGTGGCCAGCGATTGAAGGGGAGTAAATTAAAAACAAATCTGCCGAAACAATATTTCAGTGAGCGAGTAGTAAGTATGTGAACAGGCTCTCCAGGGAGATGGTGGAAAAAGTGTTGACTCTTACAAAAGCAAATTATAGATTTCTTTTAGGAAATTATATGGTATTGTTTGGGACTTGCAATGTACCAGGGTGGAGGAAGGAGAACTGGGTGGACCTTGTTTTTTTCATCTAGCAATTCTTATATTCTTATGTACTAAGTTTGTTCTTACCAGCTGTGAACCCAGTACAGGGCTTTCATACCAAAACTTCTTCTTGTATCTAAAAATAAACAATCAGAAACAGTGTTAATCAAGATACATTTATTCACTCAATCGATTTAGTAATTTTCATCAATATAGCATTATCCTAAGCATCAATTTTCATTTAACTCCAGAATTATAGATTTTATGCCACTAAATACAGGACAGTGCTAGTTGAACGCAGGTAAAATTATTGCAATTATCGATTGACTCTGGACCCGACATCTGGCCCTGACTTGCTGGCTTCTTGTGCTAAAAAATAAAAGTTAAAATAATATTCCTTGCATTTGATATGATACTTTTATCAAGTCTTTGAGGCGACTCAAAGCGCTTCATAGAATATACTACAAAGTGAATTGACTGTATATTTTGTGGGCGAACGCGGCAGCCAATTGCGCACAGCAATGTCCCACAAACAGTCGTTGATTGAAAATGACCAATTTATTATTTTTTTCATTTTGGAGGGATTATTGTTAGGCTCTGTGTGGAGTAAGGAAACTTGCCCAAGGTTTCGCCCTCTGCCTGGAATTGAACTCAGGTCTCTCGCTTGCAAAGCGAGTGCCCTAACCACTGAGCTACAGGACTCCACATGATATGGGGCAGAAGATTTAGATGCCCAGAGATGGAGCCCTACACAAAGGGTGCTATATAAATGTTGTTGTATATACAACAATTTGCACTTATATAGCGCCCACCGCGCAGGATAGGGTCTCAGAGCACTTAACAGTGGCAGAGCCTGACTCTGAGCAGGGGGGTGGGGGTAAGCAGTCAAAGCGGAAAGTTTTCAGGTGGGCCTTGAAAGAGGGTGTTACAAAGTTTTGGGGCTTAGTGGCTGAAAGCGCGACCTCTGATGGTGGGGCGGAGGGTGCAAGGGATGAGTGAATGAGTCAGTGAGTGAGTCAGTCAGTGAGTGAATGAGTCAGTCAGTGAGTGAATGAGTCAGTGAGTGAGTCAGTGAGTGAGTGAGTCAGACCAGTGTCAGTCGAGCGGAGGCGCCAAGTGGTGGATTGGGGAGTGAGGAAGTCGGATAGGTAGGGAGGTGCCAGGGAGTCAATGGATTTGATCACGATATAGCAAATCTAATTATATCAATTATATTCTTGTTTGTCAAATAAGTACCATTATTATTACACTTTGATTACACAAACATGCAAACTTTTCACAGATGGGTGGGTGAACCAACCCTCAATTACAGATGTATTAGAGTGAGTGTTGTCTGAAGCCCAGCAGTGAGTGAGTGAATGAGTGAGTCAGTCAATGAGTCAGTGAGTGAATGAGTCAGTGAGTCAGTCAGTGAGTGAATGAGTCAGTGAGTGAGTGAGTCAATGAGTGAGTCAGTGAGTGAATGAGTCAATGAGTGAGTGACTGAGTAAGTCAGTGACTGACTGAGTGACTGACTGAGTGAGTAGTGAGTGAGTGACTGAGTGGGTGAGTGACTGAGTGAGTGACTGAATGAATGAGTGAGTGACTGAGTAGTGAGTGAGTGAGTGACTGAGTGACTGACTGAGTGAGTCAGTGAGTGAGTGACTGAGTAAGTCAGTGACTGACTGAGTGACTGAATGAGCAGTGAGTAAGTGAGTGACTGAGTGACTGACTGAGTGAGTCAGTGAGTGAGTAAGTCAGTGACTGACTGAGTGAATGAGTGAGTCAGTGAGTGAGTGAGTGACTGAGTAAGTCAGTGACTGACTGAGTGAGTGAGTAGTGACTGACTGAGTGAGTAGTGAGTGACTAAGTGAGTGAGTGACTGAGTGAGTGACTGAATGACTGAGTGAGTGAGCGACTGAGTGAGTGAGTGAGCGAGCGACTGAGTGAGTGAGCGACTGAGTGAGTGAGCGAGCGACTGAGTGTGTGACTGAGTGAGTAGTGAGTGAGTGAGCGACTGAGTGAGTGTGTGACTGAGTGAGTAGTGAGTGAGTGAGCGAGCGACTGAGTGAGTGAGCGAGTGACTGAGTGAGCGAGCGACTGAGTGAGCGACTGAGTGAGTGAGTGAGTGAGCGAGCGACTGAGTGAGCGAGTGACTGAGTGAGTGACTGAGTGAGTGTGTGACTGAGTGAGTGAGCGAGTGACTGAGTGAGCGAGCGACTGAGTGAGTGAGTGTGTGACTGAGTGAGTGACTGACTGAGTGACTGAGTGAGTGTGTGACTGAGTGAGTGAGCGAGCGACTGAGTGAGTGACTGAGTGAGCGAGTGACTGAGTGAGTGTGTGACTGAGTGAGCGAGTGAGTGAGCGACTGAGTGAGTGAGCGACTGAGTGAGTGTGTGACTGAGTGAGTGACTGAGCGAGTGAGTGAGTGAGTGAGCACCTCGGTTTGGAGAGGAATCTCTTCAGTAGGTTTTTAGCACAGAGGTCCACGCTGGTGTGCAGGTGTCGGCGCGGCCGCACGTCACCGCGCAGGCGGTGACCCCCGAGCGCGAGGGCCGCGCACCGCCTCCACGCGCCGCTCGCCAGTTTATAACCGATCAGATCCCGGCCACCGACACACCGGGACCGGACCCCACCAGCCCGGGGGGGAGGGGCTGACACACCGGGACCGGACCCCACCAGCCCGGGGGAGGGGGGAGGGGGGCAGACACACAGCGAGCGATCCGCCCGGAGTTAACCAAACCCACCCACCAACGCACCGGAACCGATCAGCGACGCGCCTCCGCGAGTGACGTGATGACGTCGACCTACGCACTGACGTCAACAGGCCCCGCCCCTGCTTTTGACGGGATGACTTTGTTTTATGTCCCGCCCCCAGGACAGCCTACACTGCCCCCTGCCTTGCACTGCCCTGCCCCCTGCCCTGCCCTACCCTGCCCTACCCCCTGCCCTGCCCTCTGCCTTGCCCTGCCCCCTGCCCTGCACTGCCCCCAGGACAGCCTACACTGTGCCCTGCCCCCTGCCCTACCCCTACCCCCTGCCCTACCCCCTGCCCTGCCCCCTGCGCTGCCCCCTGCCCCCTGCCCTGCCCCCAGGACAGCCTACACTGTGCGCTGCCCTACCCCCTGCCCTGCCCTGCCCCCTGCCCTGCCCCCAGGACAGCCTACACTGTGCGCTGCCCTACCCCTGCCCTGCCCTGCCCCCTGCCCTGCCCCCAGCCTACACTGGCCCCTGCCCTGCCCTGCCCCTGCCCTGCCCCCAGGACAGCCTACACTGTGCCCTGCCCTGCCCCCCAGGACAGCCCCCAGGACAGCCTATACTACCCCCTGCCCTGCCCCCTGCCCTTCCCCAGGACAGCCTACCCTGCCCTGCCCTACCCTGCCCTGCACTGCCCCCAGGACAGCCTACCCTGCCCTGCCCTACCCTGCCCTGCACTGCCCCCAGGACAGCCTGCACTGCCCCCTGCCCTGCCCTGCCCTGCACTGCCCCCAGGACAGCCTGCACTGCCCCCTGCCCCCTGCCCTGGCCCCTGCTCCCTGCCCCCTGCCCTGACCCCTGCCCTGCCCCCTGCCCTGCCCTATCCCCTGCCCTGCCCTACCCCCTGCCCTGCCCCCTGCCCTGGCCCCTGCTCCCTGCCCCCTGCCCTGCCCTGCCCCCTGCCCTGCCCTGCCCCCAGGACAGCCTACACTGTGCCCTGCCCTGCCCCCTGCCCTGCCCTACCCCCTGCCCTGCCCTACCCCCTGCCCTGCCCTGCCCCCAGGACAGCCTACACTGTGCCCTGCCCTGCCCCCAGGACAGCCCCCAGGACAGCCTATACTACCCCCTGCCCTACCCCCAGGACAGCCTACACTGTGCCCTGCCCTGCCCCCTGCCCTGCCCCCTGCCCTGCCCTACCCCCTGCCCATTCCTGCCCCCAGGACAGCCTACACTGTGCCCTGCCCTGCCCCCAGGACAGCCCCCAGGACAGCCTATACTACCCCCTGCCCTGCCCCCAGGACAGCCTACACTACCCCCTGCCCTGCCCCCTGCCCTCCCCCCAGGAGAGCCTACCCTACCCTGCCCTACCTTGCCCTGCACTGCCCCCAGGACAGCCTGCACTGCCCCCTGCCCTGACCTGCCCTACCCCCTGCCCTACCCTGCCCTACCCCCTGCCCCCGGCCCTGCCCTGCCCTGCCCCCTGCCCTGCCCTAACCCCTGCCCTGCCCTACCCCCTGCCCTGCCCTGCCCTAGCCCCTGCCCTGCCCTACCCCCTGCCCTGCCCCCTGCCCTACCCCCTGCCCTGCCCTAATCCCTGCCCTGCCCTACCCCCTGCCCCCTGCCCTGCCCTACCCCCTGCCCTGCCCTACCCCCTGCCCTGCTCTGCCCCCAGGACAGCCTACACTGTGCCCTGCCCTACCCCCTGCCCTGCCCTGCCCCCAGGACAGCCTACACAGTGCCCTGCCCTACCCCCTGCCCTGCCCCCAGGACAGCCTGCACTACCCCTGCCCTGCCCTGCACTGCCCCCCGGACAGCCTACACTACCCCCTGCCCTACCCTGCCCTGCCCCCTGCCTTTCCCCCAGGACAGCCTACACTACCCCCTGCCCTGCCCCCTGCCCTCCCCCCAGGACAGCCTACCCTGCCCCCAGGACAGCCTGCACTGCCCCCTGCCCTGCACTGCCCCCAGGACTGCCTGCACTGCCCCCTGCCCTGCACTGCCCCCAGGACTGCCTGAACTGCCCCCTGCCCTGCACTCCCCCCAGGACAGCCACACCATTTGATATAGTGCCTTATCACGTCTTCAAAACCTCCCAAAGTGCTTCACAGAATTTACTGTGAAGTGAATTGACTATATATTTTGTGGGTGAAACGCAGCAGTCAATTGCCCACAGCAGTGTCCCACAAACAGTTGTAAATTGAGTGACCAAATTATTTTATTTATTTATGAAGGGATTATGACCCCCGGAAAAGCGATCCGCCAATCGCCAATCGACTAACTGGATTCCTACTTACTGCTAGGTAAACCGAGGTGTGGAGTAAGGAAACTTGTCTAACGTTTCGCTGTGTCTGGGAATCAAACCCGGGACCTCCCACTTGCGAGGCGAGTGTCCTAACCAATATGCTACAGGACTCCACAAAACTGCCTGTTCAGGTGGATATAAAGGATCTCGTAGCACCATTTGAAAAGGGAGTTTCTTCCGGTGTCCTGGTCAATAATCCCACAAATAAAATTGATCATTCACTTCATGGCTGTTTGTGGGACAAACAAGGTGGCTATTGCGTTCACCCTCAAAAAATACACAGTTGCTATAATTTGCATTTTAATAATAAAAATCCTTGCATTTGGTCACCCCCCATCCCCCCAGTTTGAAATCATTCTATGTCAATTTTTTTTTGTTCAGCCAAGTGTCTGATACATGCTTAAGAGTATCCAAACCAAACTGAGATTTCCATGCATCTCACCCAGGACTAGATTAAACTTGATGGGGGCCCAGGGCTATAGTTTTGGGGGGTGGCCTCTTTTAATTCCTTCCTTTTACTGTTTACCGCCACACGCACACACAGACACACACACACACAGAGAGAGACAATGCACACCCCCACACACACGGAGTTCATACTCACAAATATATGCTTATGTTCCACATGAGCCTCCTCCTGTCCTTCCTCAACTAAGCCTTCAAACATAACCTTCTATTCCTTTCTCCCTCATGCACCTATCTAGCTTCCCCTTAAATACATCTATGCTATTTTCCTCAACAACACCTTGTGGTAGCAAGTTCCATATTCCCACTGCTCTTTGCGTGAAGAAATTTCTTCTAACTTCCCTAATTGATCTATGTGACTATTTTATATTGATGGCCCCTGGTTTTGGTCTCCCCCACAAGTGGAAACATCTTCCCTATATCTACCCTATCAAAGCCTTTCATCATTTTAAAGACCTCTATCAGGTCACCCCTTACCATCCTCTTTTCAAGAGAGAAGAGCCCAAGTATGTTCAGCCTTTCCTGATAGATTATAACCTCTCAGTTCTGGGATCATCTTTGTGAATCTCCTTTCCACCCTCTCCAGTGCCCCCACATCCCTTCTATAATGTGGGGACCAGAACTGCACACAGTATTCCAAGTGTGGTCTAACCACGGTTCTATAGAAGTTTACCATAACTTTCCTGCTTTTCATTTCTATCCCTCTAAAAATGAACCCCAATGCCTGGTTTGCCTTTTTTATGGCCTTATTAACCTGTGTTGCCACTTTTAGTGAATTGTGTACGTGTACCCCTGGGTCCCTTTGCTCCTCCACCCCATTTAGGTTTTTATTTTCCAGGATGTATGTGACTTCCTTATTCCTTCTACCAAAATGTATCACCTCACACTTTTCTACATTGAAATGCATTTGCCATTTAAATGCCCATTCAGCAAGTTTATTAATGTCTTGTTGTAATTTGTTGCAGTCCTCCTCTGTATTAATTACTCCCCCCCAATTTGGTGTCGTCTGCAAATTTTGAAATTGTACTGCTGATTCCTGAGTCCAAATCATTAATGTATATCTTGAACAACAGCTTGAGAAGCCATAACTGGTCATTATGTTCGCAAGTCTTCAGAAACTGCTAGTTTTTATTACTGATGATAAATTATCATTTCTCACCAGCTGCGCTTTGGAATTGTGTGCACTGATGAATATGTTGAAAACAATGTGTTAGATACGCCTCAGTTCCCTTGGTGAGCTCTATGTTGCAGTTGCATGTGTCACAATATAATGCTGACAACAAACAATAAACCACGTGAAATGGATTGATGGGCAGAGATTAATAATAAACCAGTCAGTCAGTTCAAATGGAAGAGAAAGAGAAACAATTGACAGCAAAGTGAAGGGAAATGAGGCACCTCTAAAATTTACACTGTACTGGGAAAATAGTATTTTAGACTGTGTTCTGTGAGTGAGAGGAGAGTAAAACACTGTTCAGATTCAATATATTAAGGATACCTGCACCAAAAGACATCTCTATATTAATCCATAAATTTACACAACTTTATGTTTCTGTTTCACAGATCATATTGATTTCTGACAGCATGATTTTTAAAAAAAATAATATAAATAATAATAATCATTGCATTTGATATAGCGCCTTTATCAAATTTTCGACACGTCTCAAAGCACTTCACAGAATAAACTGTTAAGTGAATTGACTGTATATTTTGTGGATGAAATGTGACAGTCAATTGTGCACAGCAGTGTCCCACAAACAGTTGTGGATTGAAGTGACCAATTACTTTTTTTTGAAGGAATTATTGCCCCCAGAAAAGTGATCTGCCAATCGACTAACAACCAGGTTCCTACTTACTGCTAGGCAAACATAGGTGTGTGGAATAAGGAAACTTATCCAACATTTCACTCTGCCCGGGAATCGAACCCAGGTCTCTTGCTTGAAAGGCGAGTGCTCTAACCCCTGAGCTACAGGACTCCATAACCAAAAGAAACACAATGTTAGACTTGTAGATTACCCATATACTTAAAAGCAACCCATGCTAAGTCCAAAGTGGAGAACACAGATGATAAATACTTTTGTGTTTGTGCAACAATCCCGGGCAATGCTCAGTGTCAGTGATGCGTTTGTGTTGCACTTTAACTCAACCAATTTCAATGCAATCAGCAACGGAGCAAATTCACTGCAGGTTGTGCATTAACTGGAAAGGGAAGGGAGGAAAACAT